GTCATGAACAAGACATGGGGGTATAATCCCGATCCTGATGTTGGTGTTATTGATCCTCGTGGAATAAACCCCAACCTAATTCCACTGTAGTCGTCCTTCCGTCACCGTTCTATGTCCGCTACAGTATCTATCGACAACCCCCCCCCCCCCCCCCTGGGCGCGGGTATACCCTTTGACGTATCACTGGGGGCTCTCTTGTTCCCCGCTACTTTGAAACACGCTCTCTCAGGGCGAACCTTGGTCGCTGCCATCGTGAGGCTAGTTCTTGGCGTCCCTTTACTTTTTTTCTCCTCCCTATCCGTTTTTGGGTCATTTTCTTTTTACTTGTAATTCATTTTCTCTTTTTAGGAGTGCTCTGCTCATTGCAGTTTAGCTACCTCTCAGACACGGCACAGATGGACCACTCAGCGGGAGCCCGGTTGAGTCTGTGCTGGACACATTCCCTTTCGCACCGTCTCCATATTCCCAGACTCCTCCTAATGCTCGAGTCCCGTCCTTCCCCCCGACAATCCACTTGCCTTCCCATCCCCCCCCAACCTTCCCATCTCCAATTCACCCAACCAACCAACCACCCCACCTTTTTCATCTCTCTCTTTCCCCCCCCCTTTTGAGGATATGCGAGAGTCACCGACTGCTTTTTGGGTCCCATGATATTTTCCCCTTTTCCCATACCCATTATCTCCTATTTGCTGGGTCAATTAACCTCTCCTCTCGAGAGAGGGTTCCGATCCCGGCCCTTGTTGAAGACGTCGTTTTGGAGTAGTTCCAACGAACTAGGTATATTACTGTAGATGGTATTTCACGTTCATCTTGACCGGGTAAATGGCAGCGACGAACGAGCAGGATATGTCGAACGGGTCAATGGAGACTACCGAGGAACGAGGCAGACAGAGACCTAGACGGTTGCCGGTGCTGCTGCTACTACTCTACTGCTACGGTACTCCATCCGGGCGTGCGTGTACACACATTCTTGCTGCCGCGTTTAAATATTAGAGCATCTCTCGATCTTCCATTCCTCAGCCTCTACGGATCGCCCTTTCGTATTGTGTTTTTGCTGTAGGGACTCCTACAGTATGTACGTACAGTACTCCGCGGATCCTCCTTGAGAAGCTCGCGCGCCAATCCCTCCACAAATCGTCGAACTATCATGATAATGTAACACGCTATATACTACTATGTGGCAAGTGATCTCGTTGGTTCACTTGCCTAGCAAGCAACAACTCCCGACTCCAAGCCCAAGTTCAGGAGGGTCCGAGGGATTGGTTCCCGTGGAAAAAGGGCCACTTTTGGCACTAAGCAATGCCTGCCAACCTGATAAGAAAGAAGAACCAGAAATAAGAATTTAAGAGTCTAGAGGAAAGGGAAATCCGAAAATCATCCATAGTTCAAAAAATAGAAGAAAAAAAAAAAGGGAAAATAATATCGGAAAAAGAAACCCAAAAACTGATTATTGGACCAAAAGGGCAACGAAGGAGGGGGCACGATGTAAAATTACACTGACCCGCGGTATTAGCGTTTCCGACGATCTGCGAGCCCCGACGGCACGTCGTCAGTGGCACACCCTTTTTCTGCCTTTTTTGAATTTCTTATTTTTCTTTTTCAGTTTTATTTTTTGGGTAGTGGAGGTGGGTTAGAAGAAATTTGGAGACGCTTTCCCTCTGGCGCGCATGTTAATAGCATAAGAGTACTCCGTGTTAGTCTATACCCGTCCCTTCTTAAGCTTCGCCGATCCCCTTTCCCCAGACTTGATCTCTTTTCTACCTGCTACTTCTTTTTTACCTGTGATCACTTGAGAAAAAAAAGAGAATCCAAACCGAACTTTAAAAAGCATTAATATCCGTGATCTTCGGGCTTATCACTTCTTCTTCCTTTCAATCCTTCCCCCGGATCATCACCAGTCGATCGCCCCTCAACATCAACGACTCGATACGTTCGAACCGAGTATACCTTTTGGATCTACCAGACACGCAGTGCAGAACACAAAGATCAGCACGAGCAGTGACTATATCCAACCGTCCCTGTCAAACAGCATACTACTTCCACCCATCTTTCTCATCTGCGCGCGATCGACTCGTTCATCGCGGCTCTACCCTCCATGACGATGGTAATGGAAAACCAGAACCGCCCTTATGGCGGCATGAGCTTCGACAATGTCTACCACCACAACCCACCACAATTCACGGATCCCTGGGCTGCGGCACACACTACCTCGCACTCAACACCTCCAATCTACGCGACTTCCATGGGCAACAGCGCCAGCATCTCCATCAACTCCGTCAAGCCCGACGAAGTCGGCCGCTCCGCCGCCATGTCCATGCCCTACCCTAGTATCCCCGTGTCCGCCCCGTCACTCGTTCCTGGCAGCTCCTACACCACCACCGGCTATGGCGCAGAGGTCATGGGCATGCAACATGAGGTCCCCCGTACTGGTTTTGAGCAGACCCCCACATACACGACCGCACCTCCGATGAACCACTTCGCCCCGGCCAGCTATGCGCCAGGCACCTACGCTCCAATTCACCCCTCCCAGCCTCAAGATGTTCGTCGCATTTCGCATCCGTAAGTACTACCCCCGCCACCCCTCTCATGCTTTCGTATGGGCGCCCTCCACATTGGGAGGGCTCGTAACGTGGTGAAATGGTGCTTCGATTGCTGACCCAACATTCCAATACAGCGACCGTGTGGGATCCTCTCAAGCGCCCGCTCCCACTCCTACCTTTGGCGATGCTCTCGATGCAAGCCGTGGAATGGTGGCGCTTAGCCAGGACTTGACTCCCCGTAACGTGTACGGTCCTCGCGGGTCTCGCAACTCCGCTGACTCCTACGGCTTCCCTTCGACTCACTCCTCTGCTTCCTCCGTCTCCTCGGGCGGCAACTATCCTTACTACAGCGCCTCCGTGGGCTCCGTGGATTCATCAGTGACGGACTACAGCTCGACTACTTCCGAGTCGTATGAGTCGCGCACGCTTCCCAGGCCTACTAGCCTTTTGGCTGGTAGTGCGCCTCCCGGCCCGCAGTCCATGATGAGCCAGTTCAGCTCCAAGATGCCTTCCAACACGCAGAAGAAGCACAAGTGCAAGGTCTGCGATAAGCGCTTCACTCGTCCGTCTTCTCTTCAAACGCACATGTACAGCCACACTGGCGAGAAGCGTAAGTTTGGCTACCTTGCGTTGGGACGAACACGAAGAACACCAGACTAACGCACTATTTATAGCATTCGCGTGCGATGTCGAGGGCTGTGGACGACACTTCTCAGTAGTTTCCAACCTGCGCCGACACAAGAAGGTGCACAAGGGCGAGAAGGAAGGCAGCTCCCCTGAGGACGATGAGTAAATAACACGAACTCATCGCTGTACGGTTCAATTTGCCTTCTGCTCGCCTTTGAACATCCGCCAAACACGAGCGCCTCCTTCTCCTCTGCGCAACAAGACGCGCCAATTTCCGTGATACCCAATCTCTCCACCTCCTCCCAACGAAACCGTCCCGCCGCGCAGGCTAATCCAACCGTGTTGGTTGGAAATTCCTTCGCCTCTGACTCCTTGTACAACAGCATGGATTTACCCTTCCGCCTTCTTCCCCTGCCTTCGATTCCCTCCTCAATTCCCAAACCTCCATTGTTCTATTTTATCTTTTTTTTTTTTTTTTTTTTTTTTTACATTCCAGCTCACTGGTCTTCCGATCGGGTGCCCGAAGATTCTTTCGTCATATACCATATACCCCTGGGACGGTTCTGAATTTTGGGTTTCACGCGGCCACGATACAAGCAAGGGCTGCTCCGGGAAAAGGAGAGAGGCCTTTTATTGATGTTTTTCTTGTTCATTTGTCTCTTCCCATGTTATGACCATAGAGGTACCGGCTGGTTTGCGTGCTTGGTTGGGCTTGCTTTGCTTTGTGTTTTGGTTCTGTTTTGTCTTTTCTTTCCCTTTCTCGAGCTCAGTGCTCTATTTTCTTTTTTACCTTTCTTATTCTTTCGCTAGACCTGGGAGTCACCTGTGCTTTTCCTCGATACCAATGGGTTTGTGTGATGATTTGATGCGTTTTGGTTGTGTGTTTGCCCCCTCTGATTTCGGGACACTTCATTGTTCTTGGGCTTTTTATCTATTTCTCATGTTGCCGCAGGCTTGGATTATACTTTCATCCAGCGCTCATGTTTACCTTCTAGTGCTCTCTCTACCCTGCATCAATATATTGCATGGTTAAGATCCATCTTCTCTTCATTCCAGTCATCTCTTTCCACTCTCATTATTCCCGTCTTACTTACTTCGCTTCGCTTCACTCTTTATCTCTCTCTCTCTCTCTAATGCCCTTTCTTGGATCTTATCTGACCGTGCTCTTTGAGGAGTCTCGCCTCCGTTTCCGCTGGGGTTGTTCACGTTTTCTCGATTGTACGGGGGTTGTGCAAAATGGTTGGGTTGGTATGGTGTTGATGTGATACCCGTGGCATTGATGTGAAATCGCTTTTCTTTTCCATGCCTTTTCCCAGTTCCTCATGTATCGTTCCTGGTTTTGATCTGGTTTTCACTGAATTTGAGCTGGTTCCGCTGCGATTCCGGGACCTGCTGGTGGTTTCCCCCTCCACGATACAGTCGCTATAGGAAAGATATTGTCTAATACACAATTGAGCACTTATATGAAATTTGAATACTTGTCTTGAAGTAATTTGATAGACTTTGTAGATCTTGACTGATTGTCCTATTGATCGACCGGGAGTCTCTGTCCCACCCTCATACTTGAAGATCGCCGAATTAAGCTTAAATCTAGTCGATGTAGCGGTGGATTCCACGAGCGAGCTTGCCCTGCATTGTAGCCAGGATTGACCGATGCAGCCTGTAGTTGTGTTTTGATTATGAGGTTGCACTGCACCTCGAGTACGTTCACTAGATGCATGATGGTGGTAAATCAAAAGTTAAATGTGGGATCTACGGACAGGGGTTCTTGGTAGCTTGCTTTGATCTTAGTCCTCGTAGTTCGGATTTCGTCCATTCGAGTTGATACAGCGAGGTGGAAAGACAAGAATGACGAGAAAGAAAAGTCGCAATTATGATACTAAATCCATAGTCTAAATTACAAAATTCAAGATCCTGCTTTAGTTTCACACCGCAGCAGGGGGGAAAGTAGAGAGCCCAAACGCCGAGGGGGTGATCTTTATCCATGAATGACAGGCCAATTCACAAGTAAAATGATGATTAACGAGCTGCGCAGCACCAGGCATTTTCCAGCTCCGTATACTGGGGATCCAGATTAATGAATACGGTCCAGCTTGGCCCGGTTCATGGCAATTTGATCGTCGACGTAGTCGCTCTGTAGAGAAAGTTAATTTGAGTTTCACGTTTACTTTGATGGTACCGAGTACTGACCTTGCCTGTGATACGCTCCAGATGTCTATTCTGCTCATCCAGCTCACGGCCAGTGGCCTTGGCAAGACCGTTCAGCCGGCCAGCGGCACCGCTCAGGAGATCCAAGTTTTGCTCGATCTCGTCCTCCATAGCCTCGTCTTCACTGTCGGCCTCGAACTGATACTTGGCGCGCTCGGTGACACTAGCCTTCTTGCCCTTGCCTTGCTTGACTGCCTCTCGGTCAATGTCGCGGAACACCTTCTCCATGCGTGCGTTTGTCTGGTAGGCTTCGGAGCGGGTGCCGTCGCGGAGGTCACGTTCCTCGCGGTGGGTGTTGAGAGTGCGCTCGTCACGTTCTCGTCGGCGCGAGGCACTGGTGAATGGGTTGGAAACGTGGACGGCGAACATGCTCTTATTCAGGGTCTTCAATTCGCGCGCCTTCTCCTGGGCTAGACGACCCTCGACCGCGGCCATGTCGAGGTTCTTCTCCGCACCGTGGATCATCTCACCCTGGGCACCGAGACGAGCGAGCGTCGTGCGTCCGGTCTCCTCAGCCATTGCAGCAGCACGAAGGGCATTTCGCGTAGATGCCACATCGCCCTGCTTGACGAACCGCATTTCTTGCTTGGTAGCCTGAACGTTTTCTTCCTCCTCCTCCTCGGCTGTGAGTTGCCGGTCCTGGTAGGTGGCCATGCTGTACTCATTGCTGCCGCCACCGTAGTTATCCCCCTGACCACCCTCCTGGCCCGGCGAGTAGGGAGGCGGTGCGCTGCCCTGATTTTGTTGCGCACGATCCTTAGCGCCGCCGAAAAGTTCACTGCGAGCAGCATCGCCGGCACCGGGATCATTGGGATCGGCGCTGCCTAATCCTCCATAGCCACCCGTGCCGTAGCGCGAGGCGCCAGCGCCTTCGCTCCCACTACCGTATCGATCGCTGCCATATCCGCCCTGGTTGCCGTAGCGGTTCGGCGTGTAGCCGGAGTACTTGTTATCGGATGGAATGGCGTGGGGTCCTCCCGCGGGGGCGGGGGATCCGTTGCCCCCCTGGTAATTGGCCGGGGGCGGCACAACGCCAGCTTGGATCTTGGCCTTGGTGTAGGGGTCGATGTGAGCTGGTTGAGCGTAAGGGTTGGATGCCTGCGCAGGGCTCTTGTTCTTCGATCGAGAGCCGAACAGGGCTCGGCGGTTAGAGTCGTCGCCGTCGTCGCCAGACTTTTTGAAGAGACCCATGTTGAGGTGTGACGGTGAACTTGAAGGTCGAGGAAATCAAGTGAAAAGGAACAGTGCAAAAGGCAACTCGATCGAAGGTATCGCCTTTGTTTTGTCTAAGGAGGGGATGACGAAGGAGAGAATGTGTTTCAACGAGAAATTGAAGGCGCTTCAGGGGAGCTTCAGGCAGTCGAGACCGGCGGTGGTTCTGGTGTAACCCGGTGACCAAAATAACACTACCAAATTGTGAACGCAGTCAATGGAAGTGGCAGGCATGTGACAGGACAGATACGGCTGACTCAGCGTCAGTGGTGGCGCTAGTCCTTAACCGGGCACCTTCGCCTCCCCGCGAGTTTTGGTTATTTTTGGGTCTTGTTTGCTGCCTGCCACAGCCACCTCAGCAATGGCGCCCCTGGGAGACGCCGACCACTGCAGAGACAAGGCCCGCAGGGATCTGCTGGCCCTGCTTGAAGGCGTGAGTACCACATTCACGTTGCTAGGCTTCTTCTAATGGCGTGTAGGCTCGCGGGAAGAAGAACCTTGTTATCAGTCAGGAGCTGGCGGGTCCAGTCGGCTTGTTCGTCAAGTTCTCCGAACTCCAACAGTACGGCGTAGACCGCGTCTTTTTGCTAGAAAATGCAAATATCGACTCGTCGCAACGAAATATCGTGTTCTTAGTCCGTGGTGAAAAGGCCAGTCATGTGCGGACAGTGGCAGGTAAGGCAGCTTCGTTTCATGTTGTTTTTTTTGGTTCATTGATATCGTGATCTATGCGAGAATGTCCAATATGGGAAATGGGTCAAAAGACCCTTAGTATTACGTGGATGATTTTCATAATCCACGCAACGGAAGAATTCCCTAGATTGAGCCAGGCTCATTCATTTGGCGCTTTGCTTTCTATTATATTTCGACTGAGTGCCATCAGTGTGGGCTAACATTCTCTTTTAGAGCAAATCAAGCGCCTACAGAAAAATGGAAACGTAGAACATGAGTTCTCCATCTTTTTCGCTCCTCGACGTACCCTGGTAGGCAATGCTGTGCTGGAGGAGGCAGGCATTATCGGTGATGTCAACATTGCCGAGTTCCCACTTTACTTCTTGCCACTGGAACAAGATATTCTATCATTGGAGCTTGAAGATGCATTCAGTGATCTGTACCTGGTAGGTCCCTGTTCTTTCGTGTTGGTTCAGAAAGCAATGTTGACAATATTCTAGCATAAAGATCCTGGCTGTATCTTCCATGCCGCCAAGGCTCTCATGGGTATCCAGCAGAGACATGGATACTTCCCTCGCATTGTTGGCAAAGGCGACAATGCGCGCCGTCTAGCAGATCTTCTGCTGCGGATGCGCAAAGAGCTGGATGCGGAAGAGAGTTCCGGGTTGGCTGACCCATCTAATCGAGGCCTTCTTCCTAGTGCTGACACCGAGAACTTGATTATTATTGACCGCGACGTGGACTTTGGAACACCCCTTCTTACGCAACTTACTTATGAAGGCTTGATTGACGAATACGTGGGCATCAAAAACAACCAGGCCGACGTTGATACCAGCATCGTTGGACAGGCATCTGCTCCACAGCCTCAGGAGTCGTCAAAAACACCACAGCAGGTGAAGCAAGGTCTGAAGAGGAAGATTCAGCTTGATGCATCAGATCAACTTTTTAGCCAGCTGCGAGATGCAAACTTTGCCATCGTGGGTGACCTGTTAAACAAAGTGGCCCGCCGACTGGAAAATCAGTATGAAACACGGCACACAGCCCAGACGACTAACGAGCTCCGCGAGTTTGTCAATAAACTACCAACTTACCAACTGGAGCACCAGAGTCTTCGCATTCACACTAATCTCGCCGAGGAAATCATGCGGCTCACCCGATCCGAGACATTCCGGAAGATCCTCGAAGTGCAACAGAATAACGCCGCCGGCGCTGATCCAATTTACCAACATGAAACTATTGAGGAGCTTATTTCCCGAGACGTTCCCTTGAAGAGCGTGTTACGCCTGTTATGCCTGGAGTCCTGCATGTCGGGTGGACTGCGTCCGCGAGACCTGGAGAACTTCAAAAGACAAGTCGTGCAAGCTTATGGCCACCAGCATCTCCTGACTTTCTGGGCCCTTGAGAAGATGGAACTTCTGCAGCCTCGGTCTTCAGCAACGGCCATGCTACTCCCTACATCTGGTGCGCAAGCCGGTTCGAAGACTAATTACGGGTATCTACGTAAGAACTTGAGACTAGTGATTGAAGAGGTCAGTGAGAAGGAGCCCAACGACATCTCCTACGTTTACAGTGGCTTCGCTCCACTCAGCGTTCGCCTGGTTCAATGCGTACTCCAAAAACCTTACATTCTCTCTCTGGTCCGGGGTGGCTCCCCTGCTGCGTCAATAAACAATGCCAGCACGGCATCCCCTGGGTGGCTCGGCTTCGAAGATGTGGTCAAGAGCGCCCGAGGCTCGACTTTTAGCATTGTCCAAAAGGGCGATGATAAGGCTGTTCGAGCTCGGCAGACGCTCAGCGGCAATCCTGCTACAAAGACTGTATACGTCTTCTTCTTGGGTGGAATTACTTTCACCGAAATCGCCGCGCTACGCTTCATCGCTGCCCAGGAGGCGCCCCGGCGCAAACTTATCATTTGCTCTACGGGAATCATTAGCGGCGACCGCATGATGGAAGCAGCCGTCGAGAAGGGGAGTTTTGCCAAGAAGGCAGAGTAGTCTTTCTTCATCTCAAGTCTAGCGTTCACTGCTGGTAATAATTTTCATGATACCATTGATTTCAGAATACGGCTTGTCTATTATTCGTAGTATAATCGCACAGTTTAATATTTGAAGCCGGCGTTCACACCCATCAACCGACCCTGGTATCGTTCTATGACCTCGCCCAGCCGCACCATTACCCCAGCAGACAACGTTCGTACTTGCTCCTGCGGATCCGCAAAGCGACCCGTATCTGCTTTGTTGCTTCCAGAGGGCGCGCGATCAAACACTTCGGAAGCCCACTCGCGCAACTCCATAACCCTGGCAGCATGTTCGGTCACGAGGCGTTCCTCGCCATTCGAGCCGGATGCAATGTTTACATCCACCACTGCCAGGAAAAGATTCAACAAAGCCGCGGTAACGGTAGGCTCACTGGTTATCGGGGCCGTATGTAGTGATAGAAGCAACGATAGCGATTCATGTGTGAGGCCCGGGAGAGATGGACTATGTGGGCCCGTGGTAGAGAAAATCAGGGAGAGTGTTTGGAGGAAGAGCGTGAGAATGTGTGGAACGAAGAATGGATTGTGGGAGGGAGCTGACGACCTGTGGAGTAAATGTTAACAGATTGTCTATAAAAACAACGGGAATTTGAAACATACGAGGCGAACTGCAGCATCATGATTTCGAATCGGCCTTGGAGAGGATAAAAGAAGCCTTCAGAGAGCACCTTGTGTACATCCTTCACAACGTTCTTTTGGCGCTGAGCCTCACGCTGCTGGCGCTTCTTCTCGACCTCCATACGTGACGAGAAAGTGCGCACCTTGAGCGCGTTTGGTCCTGTCATCCGGTCTGCTGCATCAGCTGCTAGCGGTTGCAACGATGTTTGCGACATCTCTCTTGTGAGAGCCGCAATGGGAGATTCAGTCGCGCCCATGAACACAGCCTCCAAAGCCGGTGATAACCGCTTGGATGGGAATGATGTATCGCCGAGGGTTGGTAGACCGAGTGCCTTGGCATCCTCTTCGCCATTGCCTGCAATCTCGCGCGCGCTAAGACCCAAGGCTGTTAGCACGGCGGATCGCTGGACTTGAGATAGGTCTCCATCGAAGAAGATTGCAGCGAACCAACGGCCCATTTTAAGAGGCTGCGAGACTATGAGGGCTACCATGCTCTGCAGACGTGATTCGTGGAAAGATGGGTGGTTGTTGTCATTTTGTAGACTGACTAGAGTCAAAGCCAATTCTTCGACTTGCTCAGCAAGTTCTGTGCCGAATCCTGTCTTCCGGCGGATTAAGGATGCCGCAGTGCTGATGGCAAGGTGGTAGCGTTCGACGTTTTCAGTATCACGGAGGTATGCAATCAAGTCGCGAATATAACTAGCATAATTGTTAGAGATCATGGCCATTTGTGGTCATTTGTAGCCTCGAATTCTCAACCCTGACTTACACGGGCGCACTTGGCTTGTTTCGTTGGATTAATGTTGGGTCATCTTCCTCGTCCTCTGCATCGTCATCAGGTTTCTCATATGGAAGGAGATCATCATCTTCGTCGGTGTCTTCCTCGCTGTCGTCTATTTCTTCAATAGCGACAATCTTGCTTGATTGAGGTGGTTTTGAGTGTGACTTTAATTTTTGATTTCGGCTGACTTGGGTGCCTTTAGTCGGCTGTTGTGTTCTCAAAGGTGCATTCTGTAGTGCTTTGATCGATTCGAGTGGTCCAACATTGTCTTGAACCGTAGTGAGACTCAGGTACCATAGCGCCTCCTCGCTTTGCATTTCTTCAAGATCAAATTTCATAGCATTCCCAGGCTTCTCTATGAGCTGGGAGATCCCAGTTCCTACAATCATTCCCAGAAAACGGGCTCGGTTTGAAGAAGCGGCGAGTCTATTGGAGACGGCATTTAGGAAAACACCTATACGTCCAATACCATGCAACTGGAGTGGATCCAGCCGATTTAGCTGGCCTGCTACTAGCAGAATGAATTCGGCATTTGCTGAGAATCGTTAGATCTCAAGTATCAAAGATTAGGTATCAGGTTGGACAGACTGTTTTGGATTATGTTCGGGACATGCTTGATAAAGAACTTATCGCCGAACTGCTCAAGACTGCGAACGAGCAATGAATTCAATGTATCTGATCGTTATAATTAGATTCAGCGACTCCAGCAAGGTGTTCCAAACTCACCAGCAGAGTTATTGTAAGCCGCAAGTAAGGCACGGCGTAGACCAATTGTCTGGATTGATCCGCCTTGACTTTTAGAGAGCCAACCCAGTATTTGATCTTTCAAGAACGGGCGGTTTGCAATGATAACTTGGCAAAGAGCTGCCACCCCTGAGATGAAGCTGTTAGATGCATCTGACTGCTTGAAGTTTTCTGAAAGGTCGTCTGAAAAGTATTTCTTCTGTACGTCGCGGAAAATAGATTCCAGCACAACAATTTGCTCTGGCTGTCTAAGATGGTCAACAAGCGAGCCAAAGTTGGCATGGGATGGTTGCTCGAAAAGCAATCCCGAGTAAATCTCTCTAACTAGCTGATCTATAGAATCGTTAGATTCTCACCGTAACTAGATGACTTTGGAAGAAGCCTACCAGAATAGCCTAGACTTAAGGCTCGACCGGTGAGAAAAGCGAGTGAGGTCCAGTGACTTTCATCACCCGCGCTGATCTTCGAGGCTAGATTGGTGATGTTTCCACCCAGCCAGGACGCATAGCGAGGGCCATCACCAATCCATGAGACGGATGACACACGCGCAGATGTATTGGCAACGGTGAGCGCTTCTGCTGCTGTGGAAAGTATTTTACCAGCAGCAACGAGGGACACAAACTCTCTCCAGGCAACTTGCTGTCGAGTTCGATTCTCATAGATCGATGAGATATCTGTATAGATGCGAGAAAGGAAGTCCTTCGGCTCCAGCAGAGCAGCAAGGACAGACAAGAGATCTAAAATCATGAGATGGCTGCTTGAGCCCTCGGCTTTCTGAGCTGCTGCCCGAGAATTTGCGATGAGAGTACGAAGTTGAGCCACAAGAGACCCAAGTCCCGCTATGCTGCTGAGACAGCGCAGTAGAGCTGCTCGGCATTTTGCATCCTTTGCCTTGCTTTCCTTGCCATTCAGAAATGACCAGTGATCCGGGATGGTGGTGGTGACTAAAATCTGGAGAATTTGAGCTGTTGTCGGGCTTGGAATGCGAATGTCAAGATCCTGTATCTTCCTTGATTTGCTGAAAGGGTCGAGAGTTGCAAGAGCTGCTGCAAGCTCGTCATTTCCCGGATGCGACTTCAGTGTTTGTACCAGTTGCTCCAATGATATATCTTGGCTCAAATCGACAACGGGTTTGATGGAACTGTCATTGCGACTCTGAGTTTCAACAGCAACCAACGGGGATTCAGAATCTCGGTTGATGGTCTTAACGGCAGTTAAAAGACCTTCCATCTCGAAAATCGTGATATTGATAAGAAGTCGTTGTGCCTGAGGTTGATTGTCGGAGTTGTATGCGGAACATCACGTGATTATTCCCATCTGCCTCACCATCCCACGCCGCGATGCTCTCCTCAACCCTCACATTATCTCAGCGTCGCTGTTTACATTGTTCGTTTCCCTCGAAATCTTGGAAAGTGAGATTATACCCACATTGAAATTCCTCAACATTCACCTCCACTGCTCCCTCCCAGTTTGATACGGGAAATCTGCATGTGACGAGTAGGGTGGGTCTATTTACTGTCATCCTGGACTTCTATCGCGAGTCGGCATTTGAGCCGCCCATTTCGAATCCGTGATGAGTTCAGCCGGCATGAGTCAACAGGGCCGATGGTAAGAAAGCCCTCCAGCTTTCGCTCCATTTTCAGGTTCTAACACAGCATAGGAAGCACCTTTATAAGGTCATATCCAAGCCCGGTCCCTACTGCGATGACGACTGGGTCGCGGGACCAGAGACAATCGACACCCTCGAGTCTTCAAAGATTCTGTGAGTTCCCTTCTATCAGACTTAAGACTATCGCTAACGCTGAAACCAGTGTGATGTTCGTTTACTAAACCATGATGATTGCCATGGGAAAGCATTGGCTAACATTAGTCCAGCGGAGCCGGTGGACTGGGCTGTGAAATATTGAAGAATCTTGCTCTATCTGGATTCAAAGACATTCATGTCATTGATATGGGTAGGTTATACCATCTGGTCTCGATGAAATAATGACAACGCTAATGTGTGCGTGAAGACACCATCGACATCTCCAACCTGAACCGGCAGTTCCTCTTCCGCCAAGCTGATATTGGCAAGCCAAAGGCAGAGGTTGCCGCTGCCTTTGTAGAGAAGCGAGTGAAAGGTGTCAAGATCACACCTTTTGTTGGCAAGATCCAGGATAAAGACGAAGACTACTATATGCAGTTCAAGATTATCATCTGCGGTCTGGATAGTATTGAAGCTCGTCGCTGGATCAACGCAACGCTGATCGGAATGGTGGATCCGGAGGACCCAGAGAGCCTCAAGCCTTTGATCGACGGTGGAACTGAAGGTACTGATGATTTCATGAGGTTACAGACTTGAAGTACCGAAACTGACGGTCAAACAGGATTCAAAGGTCAAGCTCGTGTTATTCTACCCACACTATCATCATGTATCGAGTGCCAGCTGGACATGCACGCTCCTCGCCCGGCAGTCCCGCTCTGTACTATCGCCACTATTCCACGTCAACCCCAGCATTGCATTGAATGGGCTCATCAGATCGCGTGGCAGGATAAGCGCAAAGACGATACTTTCGACAGCGATGACATGGAGCATATCTCATGGATTTACCATGCTGCTCTGGAGCGAGCACAGCAGTTCCGCATCCATGGAGTGACCTTTCAGATGACTCAAGGTGTCGTGAAGAACATCATTCCTGCTATCGCATCGACTAATGCCATTATTGCCGCGTCTACAACCTCGGAGGTGTTGAAGATCGCCACTGGATGTAACCCTTACCTCGAGAACTATATGATGTATGCCGGCGAGGAGGGTGTTTACACATACACCTTTGAGGCAGAGAAGAAGCCGGATTGCCCGGTATGCGGCAACCTTGCTCGGAAGATGGACGTCGACCCCGACATGACTTTGGGAGCCTTCATTGAGAGCCTTGGCGAGAGGGCCGAAGCGCAGCTGAAGAAACCTAGCATGCGGACGGAGGAGAAGACTTTGTACCAGCGATTCCCACCTCAGCTGGAAGAGCACACGAGGCCCAACCTCCGCCTCAAGTTGCGTGAACTAGTGGAGGATGGCGAAGAGATTGCCGTGAGTGACCCGGCCTACACCATCGACTTCCGCTACAGGCTAGTGTTCAAATAGACATCCCATAATTCAATACCCTGTGCAAGCAGGGCCTACGGTGACATGACTCAAACGATTCAAAGCTTCAAAGGCTTAACCCTTAGAATTCAAAGACAGCTGCCAGCCTTCTGTGATCTAACAATAACTGTGATATCCGGACTCCGGCCTCGTAAAGCCTAACTTTTGACCGAACTTTTCGTAAAATGTACAGCGCGAACGGAGCTCAAACAAACAATTCCAACGCCAGGAAAATGCATTATATGAGGAAATAGCACCCAATGACCCATATGACCTATGCCATCAAATCGGTCAGACCGCGCTTCCACCGGGCGCACTTCAGTTTCAAGACCTTTACGGCCTCCAGGAAGAGAACATCGCTCTCGAACTGGCCAGTGCTCTCCACGTTGAAGATGAAGTGATCCCGAATGCGACCGAGCTTGACCTTGCCCTGGAACTCCTCGTGGCGCAAGCATTCTCGGCTGACGGTATCGTTGAAGGCATCCCGGACAACAGCCTTCTGCTCACCAGCATGACCCTCGTATCCGCTTCCCTTACGGCGGGCCTCCTCAGCAGTAACGGGCTCCAGGGCAATGACGCCCTTGGGGAAGCACTTGGCAAACTTCTTAGCATCATCACCAATGATGGGACGTTCAATATTGATGTCTGGCATCAGACGGTAAGACGCAGTCGCAACGGGGGAGAATTTAGCGTGATCGGCACCAATGCCCTTGATACAGTGCATCTCCAGGTCGATCTTCTGACCAGGGCGTAGCTTGGCGATCAGAATATCCGGGTTGACAGGCTGGATGGCATTCTCGCCAGTGAAAAACTCCTCCTGGCGACCAACTGGGGCGAATGTGATATCCTTGGCATAGACATGAGCGTTGTGGTAGAGCTTGCGCGGGTCGGTCTCGTCATCGGCAGCGGCGGGGTTCTTCGTGCACTCGACAATAAGGTGCATGACAACGGTGTTGAAATCGCTAGGGCCTGGAGGAGCGGGGCCGTCATCATCCTCGGAGGGCTTGCGGTACCAGTGCATCCAGTTGATACCCTCGACGGAGCCTTTGAGAGGGATCAGACCTAGGCGAGATGCGAGGACCTCGTCTTGGATCACCGAGGTATTGTTTTGAACAAAGACATATTCGATAGCCAGGGTAGGAATCTCGGCCATGAGAATACGGCGGAAGGCATTGGCGACCGCGGCGTCGAGTCCAATTAGCGAGAACGAAGCTTCGTACGGGTCATTGCGGTGGAATTCGACTTTGAAGTTCTGATGGTCAAGAGCTGTGAGTAAATGTGCTTTGCAAAGAGGCATTTTGAATGGTAGCGAGCACATACATCCTTGAATTGGTCAAGCGCCCAGCCGTGCGATTCTCCGGGCCAATGACCAGGGAAGTCGGTGGAGGGGATGTTGGTGACAGTCTCTGCGTTGATGCCGATGATCTAGCGCCCGTTAGTATTTTGTTGATATTGACACTGCGAGTTTTCTTACACGGCGGCGCTGCAGCTCCCCTTGCGATGGGACCAGGGGCGCCATGGTGGACAAGCTTTTATAAGGTGAGGGTAAAGGTGGGAAGTTCGATGACCGGCGATAAGAATAATTTCTCGAAGTATTTTCTTGGAAGCCTGAGGCACCCGGGGCTGTCTATTATGTGATTTGGTAGTGTAATATTATGTAAGATTTCTGGCTGGTCAAGGACAACGCCAAGCCAAAAGCGGATTAACGCAATGGATAGCATAGGTGCATTATAAAGCACTCACTTGGCCAACCAGCAGTCGCTTGATGACCGGACAGCTCCCCCACGTGACTTGCCAAATTGGAGCGCGACCTCATCTTCATCTTCAAACCGTAGGCTTCCCTAACCCGCAGCGAGCCCACTCTCCACCGAGCCATTGAATGCGTCTGGACTGAGGACCAGCCGTCTTCCTTTCCTCTCCTCGAGCCTCCCCTCTCAATTTCCTCATGGCCGCTTCCTTCGCCCGCCTCGCGGGCAATGCGCCCAAAAGACTCTGTCTCCGCCCCTCCACCTTGATTAACACATCTGTGCCCCGATCCCGCTCAATCGCGACCACTGTCCCTCGCCGACATGCCGAGGCCACTAGCTACCAGGCCACGAGACTCGTTCCGACCGACCCGACCTTCACTCACTTCGCCAACAAGGGGGCTCCCGAGGACCCCGAGGCTGCTGCCCTCGAGTCCGCGGCTGAAGGCATTGACCGCAAGATCCGTCACTACACCGTCAACTTCGGTCCCCAGCACCCGGCTGCTCACGGTGTGCTTCGGTTGATTCTGGAGCTCAATGGCGAGGAGATCGTTCGCGCCGATCCCCACGTTGGTCTGCTCCACCGTGGTACCGAGAAGTTGATCGAGTACAAGACTTATATGCAAGCCCTGCCTTACTTCGACCGATTGGACTACGTCTCCATGATGACCAACGAGCAGTGCTTCTCCTTGGCTGTTGAGAAGCTGCTGAACATCGAGATCCCTGAGCGTGCCAAGTGGATTCGTACGCTGTTTGGCGAGCTCACCCGTGTTCTGAACCACCTGATGTCCGTGCTTTCCCACGCCATGGACGTTGGTGCCCTCACTCCTTTCCTGTGGGGTTTCGAGGAGCGTGAGAAGCTGATGGTAAGTGATCGGGAAATTGCTTGAATTGCCTCGGGAAAGTGTGAAGCCATCTTCTAACGCATTGGTCGCCCTTACAGGAATTCTACGAGCGTGTTTCCGGTGCCCGTCTCCACGCTGCCTACGTTCGCCCCGGTGGTGTCTCTCAGGATATCCCTATCGGCCTTTTGGATGACATCTACCAGTGGGCTACCCAGTTCGGTGACCGTATCGACGAGACCGAGGAGCTGCTTACGGATAACCGTATCTGGAAGGCCAGAACCCAGGGTGTTGGTGTCGTTAACGCTGCCGACGCTCTGAACATGAGTTTCACCGGTGTCATGCTGCGTGGCTCCGGTGTCCCTTGGGATATCCGCAAGTCCCAGCCTTATGATGCCTACGACCAGGTTGAGTTCGATGTTCCCGTTGGTGTCAACGGTGACTGCTACGACCGTTACCTGTGCCGTATGGAGGAGTTCCGTCAGTCTCTCCGCATTATTCAACAGTGCCTGAACAAGATGCCCGCTGGCCCTGTCCGTGTCGAGGACTACAAGATCATGCCCCCTCCCCGTGCTGCCATGAAGGAGAACATGGAAGCTTTGATTCACCACTTCTTGCTCTTCACCAAGGGTTACTCTGTTCCTCCTGGTGAGACCTACTCGGCTATTGAGGCTCCCAAGGGTGAGATGGGTGTCTTCTTGGTTAGCGATGGTAGCGAACGTCCCTACCGCTGCAAGATTCGTGCCCCCGGCTTTGCCCACCTGGGTGGCTTTGACCAGGTGTCTCGTGGTCACCTGCTGGCTGATGCGGTTGCCATTATCGGTAAGTTTTATCCGTCTGACACTAAGCCTAACCGTGCTAATATTTTTTCTCTTTCTCAGGTACCATGGATCTGGTGTTCGGTGAGGTTGACCGGTAAAAGCACCACGCACTACGCAATTACTCAACTTAAAAATCCGCAAAAAAAAAAAAAACCGGAAGAAGACTTCGAGATGGCCCCCTTTTTAGACGGCTCCTATGCCATGATGGGGGTTAAAAACCAGAGAGGAGGACTCCTTCCGTCCTCTATGTGATAACCCTTGGACCCCTTGACTCTAACCCAGGTGTACCAATTTTCCCCATGTTTTCTTCTCATGGCGTTGTTTTTATTATGTCCTGTCCCTCCCCTTTGTCTCCTTGCCTCCTACCTCTTATTAGGCCCCTGTGTATAGTGACTATCCAATTGTTCTGAGATAATCCTTCGACTCCCTGGTAGTCTCTCATCGTAGCTTACTCCTTCCCAATACAGGCGAACATGTCTACCACGCCGTGATGAATGTGACGACAACTCATTTCAAGTGTAAAAGGATCGTGCAGTCTGTAGCGGACAACCTCCGTGTCAGGGATCAATTTCGTGTTTTGTATCTGTCAAGTCACATGTAGATGGATTCAATGGGTTGCAGAACGAGCTTTCTCATCTTCTCTCCATTTATGTGAACTTCTCTACCCCGTCGAGGTGCCATTCGATACTTTTGATCACTCACTGATGTCTGATTGGTGGGATCGCGTATATGCCCGTAAATGGGATCTGGTGGGTCACTTCGTCCATCTCAGTGGCGAATCGGAACGAGTGAACCCCCTCAAACGACATGTAGAATTTGGCAGGGCATCATTCACCTTTGTGACCGTATCTTCAAACGGCTTTTCAAGAGTATAGCCAATGAAGATGACTGCTTCACCAAGAAGCCGAGCACGCTCGGAGGGACGAGAGACAACCCCCCCGTGCCATGGGAGAAGACGAGACGGTTGCACGGAATGCCGGAGAAAGAAAATCAGAGTATGATTGTCTACCGAAAGATTCAAGCAGATCCAAGGCTAATTGCGATCGTCCAATCAGTGTGATATGCAGAGGCCGGTGTGTTCACGTTGTAAGCGATATCCTCGAGGATGTCAGTACGGCTTGAGTATTATTGCCCAAGTCCCAGCTAGGCGACGACCATCCCCTGTCAAATTTAATCAACCCAAACTTGAGAAGGCATCAACACCTGCTACTGAAGACACTCAAGCTGTTATTGACATGATGCCGCTGGTGTATCAGCCTCTACCCAATCCCTCACCTCTTCTGCTCTCTGAAGAATCCCGGTTTTTGATGCACACGTTTGCAACGCAGACAGCCAAGATGTTATTTCCGGCAGCTCCCGAATACTTCCTCCAAAGAATGATCGGTTCTGCAATGGAGACACCGCATCTTCTCCATGCGCTTTTGGCCAGTTCATGCAGTCACCATAGCCGGCTCATTCAAGATTCGGGCCCACGGTCAAAGATGATGTGCCTGAAATACACGAATATGGCTATAGCCGGGCTGAGATCAGCGCTCTGCGATCCAGACCAGGCAACAAAACCCGAGACCGTCACGACTGCAATGGCCTTGTGCACAAATGATGTCTGCAACGGAAATATGAAGATTTGGCGGACTCACCTCGGGGGAGTTTTGCGAATGTTGATGGGCCTGCTGCAATACCAACGAGCATCACCAATACTGATGGATGATCCTTTCATGCAATGCCTCGTCAAGTGGTTCAAAACCGTGGATATTCTAGCAGCCTTATCGGGAGTGCATGGCGAGTGCATTGATAGCCCTGGCAAGGGAGCCCTGAACGGGCTTTCGGATTATGCAACCTGGCATGTGGATGAAATCAGCGGCTACTCGTTGGACCTCATCCCGATACTTGCAGAAGTATCTAAATTGGCCAGCCAGAAACGGCTTTCTGCATCGGAGGGAAACGAGGAGGACTATACGGCATCCCTCGAGACGATGATTCGGGCCGAGGATCTCGAATCCCAGCTTTTCCAACTTCTCGATCGGTCTGTTCATGACGAAACGTTGTCTCGTGACCGGAGTCTCGTATTGGAGCTGCACGGCACACATCTTGCTTTCGTACATTCGGCACTACTTCACCTTCACCGGCGTGTGCAGCTACATTCCAAGGACAATGCCAAGGTCAGAGCCGATGTGCATAACATTTTCGAGGCTTTGAGCATGATTGAACCGCATTCACTTATGAATATACTCATTCTCTGGCCAATCTTCAGTGCGGGATGTGAGACCGATGACGAGGAGGAGCGAGAGACAATATTAATACGCATGGGGAACATGCAAAAGCTTGGCATGGGTAACTTTACGAGAGCTAGAGAGGCACTCCGCAAATATTGGGCATCTGGCAGTGAATTACCCTGGGACATCTATCTCGCAAAACTTGGGCTCGAACTTGTTTTATTTTAAACTTTATATAGCTTATTTAATGACCTTGATACCCATGAATCACGCAAAATGAAACGCATCCAGGTGATTCATGACCCGACACGATTCAGTCACACTCAAGTTATTTACAATTGGGCGTTCTGGTACTCTTCACGCATAAACTTGCGTAGAACCTCGAGACCCTCGACTAACACTTCGCGTTCCGGAACGTATCCAACGCGTACGTATCCCTTGAAGTCATCTCCACCGCCAAAGCACTGACTTCCCGGAACGAACATCAATCCATATTTCTCCAGCAACAGCTTACAAAGAGCCAAGTCATTTACTGGACGTCCACCCTTGGTAAACTTGACAAAGGCAGTCGTACCAGCCTGGGGCCGGGTCCACGACACGGACTCTTTGAACTCATCCACGAACGCCTCCAAGTCATCAAGGTTCTGCTTTGCGAGTTTGCAATTGCGTTCGAGCAATTTCTCAACGGTCGGGCTCGCAAGAGCTTGAGTAGCCACACGATCATCGAGTTGACCGACGGAGATGAGGGTATAGTGACGGACAGAAGCGATCGCTTCGATGATCGCCGAGCTCCTGGAAACAATCCAGCCCAGACGAATACCAGCCAGACTGAACGCCTTGGACATGGATCCGGTAGAAATGGCTTTCTCATATCCGAAGTCCAGAATTGAGGGCGGGTTGCCTTGCTCAGGGTTCTTCAGAGAGTGGAAAAGTGGCCGGTAGACTTCGTCACAGTGAACGATCAGGTCGTGTTCCCGTGCGACGTCAATGATGGCTTGCAGCGTCTCACGAGTGAGGACGGCACCAGTTGGGTTTTGAGGGTTGCTGGACTCTCGATTAGACAAGTGTACATGAGTTGTAGACAGGGCCAAACTTACTTCAAAATGATGAGCTTCGTGTTGGGCTTGATCATGGACTCGAGTTGAGTCACGTCCAACTGCCAACCGTTCTCTGCCACTGCCTTCCACAAGGTGACTTCGGCACCGAAAGACTCGGGAATGGAATACAACTGTTGATAAGTGGGATAGTGACAGATGACGTGATCCCCAGGACCAACGTTGGTATAAAGAGCCAGGAAATTGGCCTGGATTGCGCCGTTGGTGACAAGGACATTGTCCGCAGTCAAGGGCTCCGAGGAGCCCGATGAGTAAAGACGAGCGATATTCGACCGGAGCGGGATAGAGCCACGGATTGCACCATAGATTTGCTTCTGCGAATAGTCGATGAGGTTCGTCTCCTGCCCGGAAAAGGCCTGAAGATCGTTCAGAGAAATAGATGCACAGCACGTCTCGGCGAGATTGTGCTTCGCGTCATTCTCATAATCATCCATCCACTGGGTAACGTTAGTTTGATATGAAGAGGACAGGGCAGGGTTGTCGGGCAACCTACTCGCTCCACGGCAAACTCCTCGATTTTGACCATTGTGACGTTGAAAAGTTTGAGGGACTAGGTCAATTGGAAGTCTGAAGGACCAGAGCAAGGAAGTTTTTTGTTGGACCGAAAATACCCTGATGGGATTCACCTTTTTATACTCGAGGCACTGCGAGCGGACGACGATTTGAAGTTCAAAGGTAAAATGGAAATGATTGGTTGAATCGGGTCCATTGCCGATTTGGGCAGTCCAGCTGGCCTGGTCCTTTTTTGTCGTCCAAAGTTGGAGACGTACATATCAAGGGACGAGAATTTGGCCACGAGAAAAACCCAGATTGCCGGCGGACTTGTCTGTATCCTCCAGACTGCCAATCTAACCCCGTCTCTACGGAGCAAACGTGTTGAAAAGCACGAGGGTGAAAAAGCGGGGATTGGGGAGTGATAGCTCCACGAGATCGTCGAGCACTACGACCCCACGTCGTTCAAGCGCTGGATGAGCTCCATCGGGGATTATTTTGATCCAAGAGGAATATTCTTTGCCCTTGTCCTTCAGACTTCCCAATTGACCCGGTCGCTGAACGTTTGAACGTCACAATAGTAACAATCGAGGAGTCGACATCGCTACGGTGGTCCGAATACTTACGCGACCTTTTCTGTAGGATACGATATTCCTTCTTCCATCATTCCCTCTGTTATCTGATGATTGCGGTAATTATCCGTCTTCCGAATTCATAGTAGTTCCACGGTCGCTTTCCCAAGTTCTGATTGGCTTAATCGCTTAAACTGCCAAACTCGAGACGTGTGGGTCCAGCATGACTGGAGCCGAACTTCGGAGTATCTATAGTAAAAGGCTCCCCCCCCCCCCCCCCCCCCCATAAAGTAACAGAATCTCGTCCATTAGACATCGACCATCCTTCTCATCCTTCACATGGCTTCTTCACACCCAATCGACTTCTTTCGAGGCTGGCCTACCCCAAAGCTGGTTCCCGTTGATGCCGTCAAGCAAGCCGCCGTGAATGCCTTGTCCGATAAAGCGGTATCAGATGTCGGTTTTGGCTACGGACCCGATGAGGGTCATTATCCTCTGAGACAAAATATTGCCGAATGGTTAACGCAATCATACGGTCCCTCGCAAGCCATTACTGCCAGTCGAATCTGTATCACCGGCGGCGCGAGTCAGAATCTGACCAGCATCCTGCAGGTCTTTACGGATCCTTTGCAGACGAAGCGGATATGGCTTGTCGAACCTACTTATCATTTGGCCTTTCGGTGTTTTGAAGATGCGGGATTCCATGGACGGTTGAGAGGTATCCCAGAGGATGAGTCCGGGATGAACGTTGATGCCCTCGAGCGAGCTCTCGAGGAGTTCTCGGATGCGAACGATGATGAGGATTCTCATGGAAGCTATGTATGCTATTCTGTGCTGCCCCTGCATTTCGTCCCAGATCCCTAACTATCCCAGATTGCGAAACCGGATCGACCGTACAGGAAGATCTACAAGCACGTTATCTACTTGGTTCCTACTTTTTCCAATCCGTCTGGGACCACAATGTCGCATTCCAGACGTGAAGCACTTGTCAAAGTCGCTCGCAGATTCAATGCTCTGGTCATCTGTGATGATGTCTACGACTTCCTCGCTTGGACTGAACCCCCGAACTCAACCCCGAAAGACCTATCGCTACAACGTGTAATCGATGTAGATCGCACTCTTGACGGGGGGCCGTCGGACGCATTTGGCAACGTGATGAGTAACGGATCATTCAGCAAGATTCTCGGTCCTGGATGCCGGGTCGGATGGGCGGAGGGGTCGGATGCTTTTATCCATGGACTTTCACAGGCGTGAGTCAATCTCTCTCCTCCTTACTAAACATGTACTCCGGCTCACACGCTATCCTTCTCTAGTGGTCAGACATTATCTGGAGGCGCACCCTCCCAGTTGATGTCGACTTTTATCAACGACATGCTGCAAACGAATACGTTACAGCAGTATATCTCAAAGAAGTTGATCCCGGAGGGACGTCGGCGATACTGGTTGATGGTCTCTACCGTACGAAAGTACCTGACCCCCCTCGGGGTTACATTTACTCCCGACCCCGAACGAACTAAATTGATCGGTGGTTACTACGTTTGGGTCAAGTTACCCGCTCCTTTGGACGCAGATCAAGTCTGCCAGAAAGCTATGGACACGCAGAACCTTGATCTGGGTAATGGAGGGCTGTTTGCAGTGCCTGGAGGAAAATCTCGGGATGCTGATCTGTATCGGAATCTGAGACTATGTATTATGTGGGAAGATGATGAGCAACTGGTTGAGGGTGTCAATAGGCTTGCCACTGTCATCAAGACTTTGGTGGACAGCTAGCAGAGCCACCCTTCTGTTTGACGCTATGCTTGGTTGAGTCGTTTGAGATAGATCGGACCATAAGAACAGGATATGTATAGAGAGCCGGCAAAGAATGTATAACTCCATCTCGACTGGGTCTCGGATGATTTAGATAGCGTTGTGAAGAAGTAGTAAATACGGATCCCGAGAGATGCTCTGTTTGCTCTCAAGATCAAAATCATTCTGTAATGCTCCGCAGGTTCAGCATTGAGTGTCACGGGATCCTTACACCAGTAAGTATAACACACGATCTGTCTTCATAGACAGTCATGACTGCTCGCAATTTCGGCTGCTTGTCATCGATATCAGTCTCCACTAGCCGCCCAACGTACCATATCTGCTAAGCTTACGGAGTAGAAGGGTCATTGGAGAGAAACGACCAACGAAACCATATCCAGGTTCAATTCATACGAGATTTATCGTCGCGAATGTGAAAACCTCAAAATTCTGAATAATGCGCAAGGAAACCACTACAACTCGCTAAAAGAAGCACCAAAAACTCCATAAACCCGCCATTGACTCCATGTCTCAAAGTACGGGCCAACTCCCGAGACAATGCGAAAAGCACCAAGAAAAAAGATTCCCATCATGATCAGCACGATCCAAATGCGACAGCTACCTCGAAAGCGCAGCTCACGTTTCAATTCACCGACATCCAACGTCAAACATTATCATCCTCATAAACGAATGGGATATCTCGAATCCGCCGACGGTTATACGCCACAAACTCGCTGTCACCCGGGGGCCGCTCGTTACGCGAGTTTGCGGTCAACATGCTCTGAATACTCATACACACGCTTTCAACGGTTTGAACGGGGGACCAGCCGGAGGAACTGAGGAGGTCGAGGCAGATAATGCCGTTGCTGTATATGTGGGGGTGCATGGGGATAGGCCGAGGGGTGTCGGACGTCGTGGGTAGTTCGATGAATTGGACCTCTGGCGGTTCTAGTTCAAAGGACATTAGCCAGAGTGCTATCTCTTGCAGAGAGGGTCAGTGTGAGATACCGATCGGGTATTTGCTTGAAAAGGTAAATTTCAACCGATAGGTATGGCCCTTGTAGATCGGGTTGTCGTCGAGGACTTTGATATCCATCTGCCACTCTTCTAGGTTGTCGGATTTGGCAATCGAGATTCCCGGTGGTATGTGGTCTTTCAGCTAAAGTTATGTAGAATCGTTAGGTAAGGGCTATCAAACTATAATTTGCCACGAATGGGGTGATAATAGTGCTCTAGATCTTCCTCGGTGAAACCTAGCAATCAAGGTGGACGATGTCGCGGAGGGGTCGGGCGGTCATAGTACCTTCAGGAGCTCCTGAATACGTATAAATTCGCGTTAGCAACCATGCCTATGAATCTGTATCCCAGCTAGTGGAATGCTTGGCCATATTGGTGATCAGAAATCGTACCTTGCTTAAGCGCTTGCTTGCGAACATATTGGCCGTGCTGTAGATCCTCGGTCACGAGCGAGAAATAGCGTTGGTGCCGATCGGGGACCCAAAGACAAAAGCGTGGGGCTAAAGGTGCAGAAGGATCGGTAATCCACTGAGCTCTGGGAGAGAACTTTGAGCGTCTGATCACTTCCCACTTGCCTAAGCAGTCAGACCAGAAGCAAGGTTGACAGAAAGCTAGGGGGATCACGGAGGTAGAGTGGGCTGGAGGAGTACAAAGCTGTCCGAAAGGTGATGCAACCTGCGGGGGAATAGATAAGATTATCCCGCACGTGATCATGGCCCGTTGCTGGTGCCAAGACGGTGGCGCTCTGGAGCATCTATAGAAAAACCAAGGCACGCGGTATGAAAGAGGACGAAGAGTGAAAAATCCATTCGAATCAACTTATTATGTGCAGAGAAAGCATGAAAAATGGGGAATCACACGACTATATCCAGAATCAATGCAAAATACAGGAGCATCAACCGGCATCATAACAATAAAAGAAACGACAAATCAGGACGAGATAGAAGTTTAATGATGCGATGCCTTCTCCCGGGCCTCTCGTTCAACCTTCTCTCGCTCCTCATTTTCCTTGGCTTCACGGACCTTGGCCAAGACTACTTCTCGGAAGATAGCGCCACGAGCAACCTTGCTAAGACTGCGCTTTTTGGTGGTGGGGGTAGCGGAATCGCCATTCTCGCTTGATTCGGTTGGAGCACTGCCAGCCCCCATATCCATTGGGCTGGGGATATCTTCCTCGCCCTCCTCGGCATCTTCGTGCAATTTGAGCGCTTCGATGCGATTGGCCAGCTTGACAATCTCGATACCACGACGGAGACGGGCACGGGCAATGTAAGCACGAATCTCGGGCAGCAGATCCCGGTCGCCGGCGGTTTCACCGGTCAGCCACACGTGCTTGAGAGCCTCCTCCGAAGTCACACGCTTGTGGGGATCCGGTTGCAGGAGGGTGAGAATAAAATCTTTCGCATCCTGAGAGACATCCTTCCAATAACGCTCGTGGAAGATGATGCGACCGGCACGACATTCTTCGATCAGATCGGTCAGGTTTTCGGAACGGAAGGGGGAATAACCACAGAGGAGAGTGTAAGTGATGACGCCCAACGACCACATGTCGACGGCCTTTCCGTGGCCCTGCTTAAGCATGACTTCCGGGGCAGCATAGCCAAAGGACCCTGCCATGGTGGTGAGAACCTCGGCCGAGTTTTCCAGCATCTTGGCGATACCAAAGTCGGCAAGCACCAACTCCGAGTCGGCTGCGCGTGTGAGATAGAGAAGGTTCTCGGGTTTCAAGTCTACCAGTTTGTTAGAGCAGGCTTCAAGGTAGAAAATTGGGGAGAGATCGAACCTCGGTGGACGATGTTGCGCTTGTGCAGGTAGTCAACCGCGTCCAGCACCTGGCGAATGGTTTGCGAAGCATCCTTCTCAGTGAACTTTCCATAATCGCAAATCCGGTCAAACAACTCTCCACCCACGGCCAATTGGGTGACGATATAGAATTTATCCTGAACGCGATCAGAACCCAATGTCCCGAAATATATGCTCATAGAAGGACTCACCTTGGACTCGAACCAATCCACAAAAGAGACAATGTGAGGGTGCTTAAGCTTCTGCAGCATCTCTAGCTCGTCGTAGACCATACCCTCATTGCCGCGGACATTCTTCTTTAAGATAATCTTGACCGCAACCTTGCTGCCATCACCCGTCTCAGCCTCCCGGACGATACCGTATGTGCCTGCACCGAGTGTACGGCCGAACTTATAGAGGGCCCTGAAAGAGGCATTAGGTGTGAATAAGTGCATTATCGGCGAAAATTGATAGGACCATACTTTTTCTCATAGCTTTCTGGCTGACCAGACAGCTTGTTCAACATGGTTGCGACTACAAGATCATTGAGTCAGTACGTCGGGCTCTTGTCAAAGCACATGAAAATGAAGGCAGATGCGAGGAATGCCGAGGATATGGGCCAATTTGAGGAAGAAACACGCATTGAAAGAGCAGACCATCGTGATAAAGCGCGGACAGCCCAACAATAAAGTCCGCGATGTAATATGCGACGAACAAAAGAGGCGTGCAGATGAAGACAAGCATTACGACTGAATCCCAGCTCGGAGTCGTGCCATGTGGTCAAAGCTGAGACAAGGCGAGAAAAAAAAAACACCAAGCACGGCCGCGAGAGAGCAAGGACCTCGTATATGATCCCCCTCCCCAAAAAACCGGCAGGATTGTACGATTCAAAACACTGCGCACGAAATTGACTCACAGCTCATGGTGTGGGAGATAGGGCTGAAAGCACCCGAGACGGTCGGATTTGGTATGCGATGTGCTGTCGAATGGGCAGAGGACCCCCGTTAGGTAGCAAATGTGGGCTTGTCGGACCCCGCAGCGGAGAGGAACGTGGAAGAAGGGCAGGAAGAGGTGGTGGTAGGAATCGATGAGAGACGAGCAAAAGATTTAGTTTCAGGGGAAACTCGGAAATTCTGGGAGAATTGGACGTGTCAGCAACCAAAAAAAGGCGCCAGATCTCAGCCGCGAGTGACCAGACGGCGGGGTTAAGTGGGCGGGAATCATGGCTTGTAGCCTATCGCGAGGGAGGGGGAGGAGAGGAGAGGAGAGGAGAGGAGCTTACCCATTCGATTGTATTCGCAAGTCTCGAGGGCTGGAGAGATGCTGCAGGTAGAATGCGAGTTCGAAGGAGGAAGACCCGGCAAATTTGAAGAGTAAGTAGCGATGGACGAGGGAGAGGAGGAGGAGTGATCAGGAGTTCTAGACGCGATAAGGAGCGAAATCATTGGGGCCGTCCACTAGTCTAGGCTGCAAGGCTCGTAGGGTTTAGTGGGCCCTTGGGCGTATTCCAACCATCAAACGGTCGTTGCACCGCCACAGCTGAACTTCCCAAGGCAACCGCGAGGAGTATTTTGTTTGGGGGCCCATCCATGGATGCGTTGGACAGTGACTGGTTCCATCGAATCACCCAATCATTCCTGCTGTCTCCATACTCCGTTTCGCCCTGAGGTCCTTCAGCTCCCAGCCACACCCAAGGCAGATTTCTCAGCCCAACGAGAAGTTGTGCAAGGATATACTCAACGGGGACTGGGATTCCAATGGGTTTCTCAAAAGCGACCGGGACACGAGGTCGGGAGATTACAACGCTGTAGGATAGGAACCAGCTCCGTGATCCCGAAGTAGATCTTGGTAGGGACGATTGGATGAGAACCTATTTTGTGTTGAAATAGCCCTTTTGAGATCACACGGGGCTAATAGGAATTACTAGGCAACGGGAATTCCGAGAAAGCTTTAATGAGTGGAATCGGAATATGTATTGAGCTCCAACGCCTAATTTAAGGATGGACGCCTGCTCTGTTTATCTCTTGTATTAATCGCCCCAGCTCCCTGGGAGACCGTTTCTCCCGAGCGTTTCTGAGTAGCTTTTAAGCAGCACGACATATGCACTGGAATACCGATCATCGACACCTTCTATATAGAAAGGTCTGCCGGTCGGCCATGCTACATGTTAGTTAGTGGACCTGTACAATCTACACTGGACCGAACATCCATTGCCCACCACGTAGTTAATCTATCCGGACTACATGGGTAAGAAGCGACACTGCAGCTTGACTGGCCAAAAAAAGATATAGTCATGCTTAATACAAGGCGCCCGTCTGATTCGTAGGGTATCATCCCGACTCCTCCACTCAACGGCTAGCGTCTGCACCGGTAGCGTCATGTCCGACGCCCTGCACGTCATCGGCTTTTACCTATATGTAGCTAACAACTCGCCCGCATATAAACACCGCATCGGACCGGTTATTTGATGAATATCGTCACGATCAACCGAAATTAGGTTTGAAATCGATTTTATCAAAACAATGTTCTACTTTATCCTTTTCCTCGTACTGCAAGTCGTCCTCTTCGGGGCTTGGGTCTTGGGTGCCCTGGATCCCTACCAGAAGAAACTGCAAGAGTTCTTGTTAGAAGTGATGGGAGAGACTAAGGTTTCCTATGGCTTGAAGAGTAAGTCTTATAACTGGAATGTTATACTACAGAACGATAATAAATGCAAATGAAGTGACTGACGTTGATCTATCAGGGAGTTTAACCGGCAAGAAACTCATCGAAGATGAGAACCTCAGCAAGATCCAAGATCAATTGGGTAACCAGCTAGGAGGTGTATTTGGGAAGGGTGGCTCGGGAGATGGATTGGGAACTATCCTCAGCAAGGGCCTGTGAACGATAACAACTCACGCTGAGCCGAATGGGCAAAAACAGCCTGTAGCTACGGAGCAACCCACTATTTGGAGATGTATTCAATAGTCCACTAAGAATGAACGTGTTTGATTAACATAAGACTCATATGATATCCTACACCTTCAGTTAGTTCTCAAACATTAGGTGGGCTCTTAGATGAGAACACCACAAATCCACCTCACTTCCTTCCATATCGTCTTTACCGAAAAGCTTGACATCATCATATCGACATAACTCATGACACAAAGGACCACACTGAGAATCCTCACTTATCCACACACAGCTCATTCAGGACCATGTTGCAGAAGGTCTGGTAGTACAGGGCCCCCTTCCAGGTACTACGGGGAGACCGCAATCCCACGGTAGTCCAGCCATCTCTACGAAGCCGGGCGATGCGCTGCTCCTTAGTCTCTTTGGTCCAGACATTTCCGAACTCGTCAGTGGCCAGACCCGGCTCCGGCTCGTTTTTAGCCTCGTCTGAGGAAGTAACGGGCGAAAAGCTCCAGAAGGATGCCACGCGTCGAACCTTTCGGGCGCGGCGAGACCTCTGGATCTCGCTGACCTTCTCCACGTGCTTTTGGATGTCGGAGATATTGGCCTTCACCTGGGAACGCAGGAATTCGATTCCACGATTGAACTTGACCATTTGGGCCATATGAGCTGGCGTGATGTCCTCGCTCTTAGCAGCCTTGCCTTTGCACTTGTGTTGATTGCCCGTGTGCTCGCTTTCTGTAGGAGATTCCTTCTTTGTAGGGGTCCTAGGGATGCGACTCGGGCTTGAACGGACAGCCAAACTCTCGGCTACCTGGACAGCACTCAACTTGATATTCCCAACGTTCAAACGACCTGCTGGGATCGGCTTCAATGGGCGAGGCGCAAGGCTCGATCTTCTGGACTTTGTAGGGGTGTCGAACATGCTGGGATATCTTTTAACCCGCAGAGGTGAGTCCCTGGACGGCTTTCGAACGCGAAGCGGTGACGGCACCAAGGAACCCATTTGGATTGACTCTTCAAACTTTTTTGCATCATTGGGCTCAGGTACACGCACGTGGAAGAGCGCATTGTTCTTCAGTGGCGCTTTGCGACGCTCAGCCGAAGCTATGCAAGCGTCCACGAATGAGCTTTGGTGCTCACTGTCCGAGTCGGAGACGAACGGGTCATCGTCATCATGTATGTCAAGGGAGACATTAATCATGCGTGCCAGGGTGCCAAGAATGACTGGTGGTGAAGGCGAATCGTCCTCGCCTTCGTTGAAAATCGTCAAGAGGGCGCTGGGTGTTTGAGGTGTCTGCGACTGCGATATGGATACAGGACTCGGAGGAGGGGTTGGGTAGAGCGTCGGGAGCTTTGGTAGTGGAATTGATTCTGGAAGAGCGGAGAGACAATCCAGGAATGAGTCCAGAGCAGCATGAAGATAGGTGACCTTGCTATTTGAGTAAAGATGGGCTGCTTGGCCAAGGAATTCGAAGGAGATTGCCGCATGGAACGCCAGGTAGGCCGTGTAGATCGGATGAACCTGGACAGAAGCCATCAGTGTCTGTGCCGTGGGTGAGATTTTGAGATATTGACACTTACAGCTGCTTCCTTGGTGGCTTCGAGGAGCTCGGTAGCGCGGGCTGCACATTGTTTGTACTGCCGTTGGAGATAGAGCCGCTTGACCTCCATCAAGCCGGCCTTCCATTCCGTTGGTGTCTGTGGTGGCAGTGGTGAGGAAGGACAGGCAAAGGATGCCATGGGATTACTCGTAGAAAATCCCCCAAGCATGGTGTGTGATCTGAGACTCGAAATGTAAGTGCGTTGAGGTTGGTGGATGGTGAGAGGATATGAAAGAAAGAAGCTCGGGTCATCTGGAGCGATTTATCTCGAGCATTTATCTCGAGGGGTGATGTACAAGGACACGTATGGACACCTGCATGGAGATCTAAATGCAATGGAAATGTAGATGTAAACACCACGTGTATGAGGAGGGAAAGTAGAATGGCGATGTTGTCCTTCCTGATTTGGAAGGCGCGGATACTCTTCACCTGGCCGTGGAAATTAGAGGACCATCGGCAGAAAAAAGAGGGTCCCTGGTCTATCTTTGAGTGCTTTACCACTTGTCAAGAATGAGGACGGACCAGTTTTACGTTTGTCCTACAATTGAATTCTGTTTCGCGGGTAAATAGCTTCACTAGTCTTTTATGATTGTGAAAATCGTATATCTTTATCAGGTTCCAGTCATAGAAAACGCTCATATAAGTTACAGCATTCAGAACCTCAGAAGTAAAATAAAAAAGATTTGACATGTCTAAGTATGCATAAGGGGGCAGCAGCTCTTTTTATTCAGGGGCGTAAAAAGGCGAACGTTAACATGATCTCATAGGTATCTACCATTGTTCCTAGATGAAGATTACAACAAAGACAAGGCTCACTATTAGACCTTTTCACCAACATGAGCAGTATCATCTGTCCGGTGGTCCTCAGGAATAGTTCTTGAAAGTGCCTCTCCAGTAGCAGACAGGGCGCCAAGGAAATCACCCAAGAGACGATCTAACTCTGCGGTAATAGTAGCATCGTCAGCTCCCTCCATCAGACTCTCCATGCTAGGTGGGAGGACAGCCGGGAAAGAAATGGCACCCGGTGCAGAATTCCTCAGGGTAGAGACTTCTGGCATGACATCTCGACGAGCAGTCTGCAAAGGCTCCACATAGATAGGAGAGCCTGGCTCGGAGACCAAGGGCGCAGTGCCCCCGGGACTTCCATGAACAGGAATAGCCGTGGGTAGAGGGGGTACGTCGTCTTCAGATACAACATCATCATGCTCGTGCCACACCGGAGTTTCCTCTTCTTCATCAGGACCAGGTCCGTCCAGCAACCCAGCTGATTCTGAATCATCATCCGTCGATTCGGTCAGAGTGGGGAATTCAGAGTTAAACGAGCTAATAGGCTGTGGTGAAATACCCGGAGGAGTGGCCGGACGATCAAATCGAAAAGGGTCATAATCTGAATCTGACATTGTAGAATTGTGAGAGGCCGAGGTAGATGGGCGAGAGATAACCGGCTCCTCTGGTTGTTGCTTGGGAGGAATGACAGGCGCTCGGAGGGTATCATGGCGCTCAGTCTCGTCATTGGCACTGGTTTCATCTTGCTGGCCGGACATCACGGGGAATGTCCACTCCATCGTGGCCCGCTTCTCGGCTTGGAAGGATCTCTCCTCGACATCATCCGGTGCTGGTTCTTCCTTCGGTGCCTCTTTTGCAGCCTCTTCTTCTGGTACCATGAATCCTGGGAACTTCCAGTCCATAGTAGGAGGACGTGGGCCAGAAGGGGGCTGGAAGTTATCTTCCCGAGTGTCACTACCTTCCGCATCACTGCTGGACGACTGTGAACTGTTCTCATTCGAGTTGCGATGGATTCGGATGCTTGAACGATTGGCACGAATAGTATCCGCATCGGCTAACTGGAACGGCTGAGCAGATGGAGCGCCAGCTGCATAATGCGATGAATCGAATGAGCCAATATCAATGTCTATGAATGTTGAGGTCACAGAAGAGCGATCGGTCTCGGTGCGTAGAGGGAGGTCCGAGACTGGCTGAGGCGGCTGGATAGGAACAAAGTCGTTCTTTGTCTCGTACTTGTAGCTTGGTTTCTCCTCATCGAAGAGGCCTTCCATTGCTGCTGCACCTCGTCGCACTCGCTCGTCGAAATTAGCTTTCTGTTCCGGATCCATATCGGTATCGGAGACATCTTCATTAGAATCATGGTCTGGAAGCGAGGTGGTCGGACTGATTGCTTCTTCCATCTCAGCCAGCGAGGCAGCTATTTGGTCAAGATCAATAACTGAGAACCGGCGCTCAAAGCCATCTGTAGTGCTGAAGTTCCAATCATCTTCGGATTCTTCAGTGCCAGGAAGCTCGGCGGCTGCAGCACCTCCCGGGTGAAATAGCGAGATACGCTGGCCACCTCGCTGTGACCACTGGTAATAGTTCCTCACAAGCTCGCTGACTGACGATGTGGGATATTCTTCGTCCGTGTCTGCGATGTAAGGATGGGCCAGGATATCGGCCATCGTTGGACGAGTAGCAGGATTGGAATCCAGTGCGAATGCAATAAGGTCTTTCAGACCCTCACTGTAGTTCTCGCTATCCAGCTTAGGAGTATTCCGGTTGAGCTGCCGCCCAATTTGCATACGTTCACGAAGGCCTGAGTTGGGTGGGTTACCCGTAGCGAACTCAAATAGTGTACAGCCATAAGCCCATACATCAATCTAACGAGGTCAGTAGCGCACTGAGCGTTAGGAATTTTTGAGCTCACCTCACTACCATATTTGTGGGCTTCCCCACGAGTTGAAAACATCTCGGGTGGCATCCAGTGCGGTGTGCCAATCCACGTCGATCTCTTGTCGCGCTGCGACTGGAGAACACCTGCTACACCAAAATCACAAATTTCCAATCGACCTTCTTCGTGGATGAGAATATTCGCAGCTGTAGAGACGCGTCAATGGATGTCCTACAGCTTGAGACTGGTGAAGTATATCATACCTTTGACATCGCGATGGATGATACCGGCTTCGTGAATCGCGTGCAAGCCCACAGCAAGCTCACGTGCAATAGGAATGATGTACTTCTCATCAAGTTTATCATTCGTTGCCCGCATCTACGTCACATTAGCTGAAGTCTCTTTTGCTGGGGATATTCAACGAGAAAGCTTACCAATGTTCGAACACTTCCACCTGGGCAGTATTCACACACCAACCACAGCTGAGAGTGAATGGAAATGGCTTCAACAAGTTCGTTGATATTCTTTGCTCCCGAGTCCTTGACTTGTTTCAAGACCTTGGTTTCATGGATAAAATCCTTGATAGACTCATCCCTGTAATCACGTAATGACTTGTAGTCCAGTGAGTCGATGTCGAGAACTTTGATAGCCACAAGCCGGCCAGAGGGCATCTGTCGGCCTTTGTAAACTCGTCCATAGGCACCCTTGCCAATCAATTCTTCAAACTCATATGGTGGCACATCCGTCTTTGCACGACGACACATCTCTTTCACGGCTGTTCCTTGCTCTCGTGCTAACTTGATCGCTTCCGCTTTATGTCTGGTAATCGCTGCCATGGCAGACGATGGGTCCAGGAAGTGAGATACACGAGAATTCATCTTGGTTGGCTAAGCAATACTTCGGTCAAGGGGGATAAAGGGGAGGGGAAAGGGGAGGGGACACAGAATTTGTAGGCGAGGAATGAGAAGGGAAACGTAAACAAGCACTCTAACACCGCCACACACGACTTAATGCTTGTTTGAAGCCTGCCGATTCTTGAAGATATCAGAAAGATGTAGCCTGGGGCGGGTGATATCTCTTCTCTTCAGGCTAGGTCGAGCTGTCGGAGAAGGCGAAGTAGGATCGCAAACGGATGACGCACTTGGAGACCGCAAAGACCCAGAGGGGGAGGACGCAATAAATTGTCGATGGGAGAAAGGAGTTGGAAATGGGCCGAGAAATGCCGGCGACAAGACAGGTGTAGCGGAACTGTTTTTTCTCTGCTTCCTCTTTGGAGTAATGGGCAGGTCCACCTCGATACCGACGTCAAAGGTAAAGCTGTCCACTGACTGTCTGTCAAGGCTATCGTTTTGACTGGCCACAGCCTCGGAAGTAGTATCGAGTGGAAACTTTTGCACGAGCTCCTGGTACGACTGACTGAGAGTGCAGCCTGGGACATTCACCTCTAGTGGCGGACTGTCTTCAGGTGTCAGAGGAAAATGACCGGATTTTCCGGACAAGCCGTCTGTCTCCGTATCAACTTCTGTCTCTTCTCCAAAGCTGTAGTAGACAGAGCGGTTGGAGGACGACGTAAGCGTAGCCTGAAGAGTGGGCCCTGGAGAAAGAGCTGCTTCCTCTTCAAGATGACCAAGCAGGTCAGAGATAAGTGCACTGGAATCACGGGCAGTATCAGAGCAGTTGTCACTTTCTACTTCCTCGTTCGATAGCTCCTCTTCCGTTAAAGCACTCTCATGAGGTCCAAAATCCAAGGGTGAAATCTTCGGCAGTTGGAAGCGGGTAGCCGAATCCCTGATTGAGAACCTAGTCAGAGAAATGATTGTGCGCAAATACAAGATGGAAATACTCACGTCAGTAGGGCGAATGAAGAGTTCGCCCTATCAATGTCCTGCGTATCAATTCTAAGGGAGGGGCCACGAGTTGGCCGGCGTTGGTAAATCAGGCCGCCTGGCAGTTCTGAAGAACCAGGCGAGTCGACGTATCGAACCAAGAAGTCGTTCTTGCTTGGTGAGATACGAAGCGATCTTGCCGGATAGAGGCTTGAGGGGATCTGATCAGTCATGTCGATATTCCCAGGATAGACACATTCAAATGAAGCGGTGCTTGTACACGACGAGGGGGGATATGCGGGTGAACGTGGAGGAGGAAGAAAAAGGGAAAGTCAGGGAGAGTGTGCGGGAGAAAGAGAATTTCTTTCTGAAGGATACATCCGAGCAAACATACGGATAATGCAAGAAGCCAAATGTGACTTACCCAGTGGAATCAGAATGATATTCGTGGAACGGCGGTTCGATCGATCCCTGGCCGTGTCAATCGGTACAAATTGATCCCAACAGTCCCTTTTTCACTTCAAGCGACATTCAGTATAATATTCAGAATCATTGAACTTGATTTTTGGAGAAATTCGATCAAATCACAATCCTTCTGGCTTCTCAATGACTTATTTGCATCACGTCGTCTTCATGAGTTGGCGGTGCGTAATCAACACGTGACCTGATGTCTTGGATGCCTAAAGCATGAGGTGTCTAGCAACCAATTCAACTTTACTTGGCAGTGTTCAAATCCGTCGCAGCAATGTACATTCACAAGAGCTCCTTGAATTAACTGCAAACTCATTCTCTTATATACGCAGGCTTCTGAAGGGAATTATATGTGCAATAAGTAACGATAAGGCCGATATTCTCCTATGCAGCGCGCCAACTCCAAGGCAATCTCCTATCTTCTCTATAAAGCGACGGTCAGTGCATAAATGCAACTGTATTCTGACAGTTTCAGGTATTTCTTCATCTCCGAGATTACAGACCGAATTGGTCACGCAGACACTTTGCAAATCGAGCAATGGCCTCATCGATCTTCTCAGATGTTGCAGCGGCATAAGTCGCACGGAAGAACATCTTTTCCATGACAGCTGATTTCTCAGCCTTGAACCAGCTGCCGCGAGACAATAGGACCTGGTGTTCGACAGCAGACAAGAAAATATCCTCCTCAATGGCCTCGCGAGTTTTTCCGGTTGCAACGCCGGGGTGCTTGCGCCAGTCAATCTCAATCCAGTGCTAGATGATCGTCAGTCCTTTCATCCCGGAACAGGTCTTGATATTTTACTTACGAACATGCCTGCCGCGGGAGGTACCCAGTGGGCAATCTCGGTAGGCAGATGCTTCTCACAAGAGTGGAGCAGCGCGTCCCGACGATCGGTGTACTGTAAGCGGAGGTTGATGAGCCAGTCCAGATATCCAGAATGACCCCAGTGCTCATCAAGAAGCTTGAATAAAACAATCTGAGATATACCACTGGGGTTCTGCGATGAAACCTCGAAGTTGCGGATAAAACGTTCAATCATTTGCTCGGAAGCAACGATCCAACCAACTCGGGAGCCAGGAGCAACGACCTTTGAGAACGACTCTAGTCGGCACACTCGACCGTCAACATCAAGACTCAAGAAAGAAGGAACGAGAGACTTGATGAACTCATCGTGGCTAGCAGGAGGGGGAGGTGCAGCAGCGCCTTGTCCGACATAAGGCTGCATCTGCAAGAAGTAGTAAGGTTCGTCCTCAACGATATAGATATCGTGCTTCTGGGCGACCTTGTAGACAGCCTTGCGGCGTTCAGCTGACTGGGTGGCACCGGTGGGATTTTGGCCGGTAGGGATGGTGTACAAGACATAAGGCTTGCGTGCGCCTCGAGCCTTCTCGTCCCAGTTGCTAAGGATCTCATCCATAGCCTCGGGGATAAGGCCTTCCTCGTCAATGGGGATACCAACGGCTTTCAGACCAAGAGGGAAAGCGGTCTCTGCAGCACTGGCAAACGTATACTCTTCCATGAGAATGTAATCGCCACGCTCAGTTAGTATGCGAAGTGCTGTATCCCAAGCATATGTGCTACCAATAGTCATGGTACATTGCCAGTCAGAGTAAGGGGGGTGGTGAATAATCTTCAGATATCGTCAGTATTTCTCACAACTTCGAAGACATTTCCCAAATATACCTCAGTGTGCTCGGTGACGAACCGGAGTAGTTGAGCTGCGCCAGTAGCCTGGCCATAGTTGAGCGCAATTTCGAGATCTAACTCCCAGCCATGTCAGTTTTGCGTAGAGTCCTAACTGAAGTTTCGAGACAACCACAAACCGTAAAGACTCGTTCCTTCCTTGATATCATGCTTTCCGGCGCGCACAACTGATCCAGACGTTCGTGTGGCTTCCGAGGAGAATCCGGGGGGGTTGGGGACCTTGATGTCCATGTGTTCAAAAGGGAAGTATTCAGCAGAGGGTAGACCACCTCCAAGAGAGATAATCCCTGGATAAGAGAGTCAGTCCCGTGGAATTTTTCGATTAACGAGTAGAGATGAAGTTAATCAGACCTGGGTTCTTGAGGTATTGAGCAGCAGTCTTCAACGTAGAGGCCTTGAACGATATCAGTACGACTATGCAAATGAGATACAGACACTGTAATCAGCACATACCTGGCGGGACTTGGCTTCAGTAGAGAGCATGTCTATGGGAATTGTGTCAATTAGCGTTCGTGATTCCCACAAAAAGTACTTTAGACATACGATCGAAGCGCTTCGCCTTGGGTTTGGTATAGCAAGCCTATCCCCACAAAAGAGTTGATCAGCACTCCTGCCCTTTTGAAGTTCCCATATAATCATTCTAATTCCACCAAACCGCGGGTATCATACCGGACTCTTGAACATATCACTGCTACACGCCGCAGCGACCCCGGTAGGCATATTAGCCACCTTCTGGCGCCATCCTGGGACACCATTGACGGTCAACGGGTCGGGAATTGGCACGGCTGAGGTATCGGTGACCCCCACCATATCAACATCGAGCGGCGCAGGCGGGCTCATGATGTTCAACGGTGTATAACTTCGGTGGGTTCGGAGGGGTATATCTTTTTGTGGGTTTGATCGCGTGGCGAGGTAGGTTCGAGGCGAGTAGCTGAAGTGCTGCAGAGCTGGCTAGGATTAAGGAGATTCGCAGAGCTCAGGTGAAAGGTACACAGTTAAGTTCAGGAGAGAAAAGAGTGACACCGGAGTTACGGTGGTGGTGGAGGCGAATTGGAGGCAGATGGGCGGAATTTACAGCAACGATATCCACTCGGCAGCGCGGATCCGATTCGGGGGCGCATGACTCATCAAGGGTGCCCAAATAAATAGTTATCCAAATTTTGGAGAAGCTTTGACGAACGGGGCCAGCGGCCGACTTTGCGGTGAATTTCTGTTATCTAATTCCCCCCGCGCAGGGTTGTTGCTGGTGGACAAAGACGCACTGCAGCTACGCCCTTGTCATGTTTAGGGCGTAGGGTGTAGGGCGTTGGAGGGGTCCTGATACGATACCATACCGGCATTTGGTCACCGGCAAGTGCAAGTTGGCGGTGTGCAAAGTATAATACTGTAATACGAGAACTTTGACCCCGCATAGATAAGGCTATCGCCGGCATCGGCGCGATAAGCTTTCTGCGCTTGGACTGTGCAAGTGGAAGTATACAACAATGATCGCAGGTTTTCATCTATTTAAAAATTTCTTCATTCAACAATTACCAACAGGGTCTGCTTTCTAAAGGTTTGATCGCTCGATATACTTGCCCACAGTTCCATCAAGCTGGGCCTCCAGGACCGCGCCCTTGCCGTTTAACACGCTCTGGATTGCCTCCGGCAGCTTCTGAGCTAATTCAGCAACAGTAGAAGCTCGACCAGCCCACAGTTCGCCGCCTGCTGCAGCTTGAGCAATGCCCGAGTAGTCCGGTGTCGGGGCAAATGAGATGTTCAAATCTTCATTCGTAGCACGCGATCCATCTCCGTTCGGGTGGACAAGTAACATGCTTCGCCGGGGTGCATTCCATCCCTTGTTGTTCAAAACGATGGTGAGAACGGGGATCTGATACCGCCGTGCAATCCAGTAGACAGATCCAGGAACAGAGAATAGGAACGTCCCGTCTCCTACAACTTGGACGACAAACTTGCCCTTACCAGGGCCGCCATGTTGCATGTCGGAAGCAAGCTTAATACCCAGAGCACCACCGCCGGACCAACCTAAGCCTCCTCCGCCACAATTGATCCAAGAGTTTGGCAGTGTAGCACCAACTTGATCCGAGACTTGATGGGTGAGCGTGACAGCTTCAATGGCCCAGATGGTATCCAAGGGGACACCCTTGCGAACTTGCGCCATCATGTAGGAGATGTTAAGAGGCGCACTATCGCCTCCTGCTGGAACTACCGCCAAATCGGCGATCTCCTTTCGGCGTTTCGCATAGTCTTGCTCACGCTGTTGACCCATGGCGCTGTTCTCGCTGGAGCCTACAAACTGCTGGAGCGAGCCGTTGCTAGCAATATGCTCATTGAGTTGTCGCAGAGCAGTGGCCGAATCAGCACGGAACGTTGCCATGGATGGAATGTAAAACACAGGCATCTGTTGCTTCAGCGGATCCACATCAATGTGAACAATCTTTGCGGAAGCGGAGGGCTTGCACTGCGTTGGCACCCAAGGCACATCGCAATCAATCACCAGGATGAAATCGGCCTTCTCCACGAGATCATGTCCGGGGTACCGCAAGCCAAGCCACCCAGGATGATCAGCTGGGAAGCACATATCACTGCCACCAGTGTCCAAGACTCGGATACCCTTGAAGTGGTTGGCTAAGGTCACCAGCTCCGTCACTGATTGAGCATGGCGACCGGTATATCCCACAATCACCAGCGGATTCTTAGCAGCCGTAAGCTCAGCCGTGATCAACTCGATACCCGAAGGAGGTAGTGCGGCCGGTGCCACGGGGCCCCAATTACTTTGATTGAGCTGATAAGGTTCAATATCCTCCTCCATCACCTCACGAGCCCCCATCAGATAGACAGGGCCTTGGGGATCACTAGTTGCGAATTGCAGTGCTCGGTTGACAATCTGTTTCACATTCTTGCCAGACTTGATCTCTCCCGTATAACGGCAGTATTGGGAGACGATCTGCTTTTGATCGGGGACATCCTGAATCCAATGGATATATTCGGTTCGCGAGCCGCGAGTCTCGCCTTCAATTGTGTATGGCGAAAGGCCCGCAAAGATCAGGACTGGTGCACGTCCACAGGAAGCATTGTGCACTGCCGCGCCCAGTCCTTGTGTTCCGACATCGACGTGTACGATCACAGCTTGTGGTTTACCAGTCAAGCGAGCGTAACCATCAGCCATTGAGAGTGCGACCATCTTCACAGCTTGTGTTAGTCTGTGCTACGTAGTCTCGATGATGTCCGAACGAATGGATAGAAGATTTACATGTGCCGGATGAACCAATGGGTCGTGAGATAGTAAAATGATGGACGTACCTCGTTGGGACAGGTGATGATTCTCGGGAATCGGCCTTTTTTCTCCTTCTGACCTTTCACCATGGCCTCTAGGATGGAAGGGTGGTCGGAGCCGAGGTTAACGAAGACATGGCTTACGCCGCCCTAGTTGATTAATTGATTGTCAGTGTTGCACATTCATAAGACTGAAGGTATCACAAACCTCCCAGAGGGCCTCGAAGAAGGCAAAAGATGCAGTATATACCCTATCTTCCCGTTAACAGAGTACCGTGGTCAAAGCTCAACCAAACGCTCAAACTTACATCACTGTTTTCTCGCGGATTTGTGTGAATTCACAACAACAACAAAGACACCAGAAATGGTCGGAAAACCAGGGCTGGCACGAGTTTTAAAAGGGCCAGAGGATCAATTGGCAAAAGGCGGAGAACCGGGAGCTGATAAAGCAACAGGTCTGTGGATGGCTCGGGATTGCCTTTCCCTCCTCCCCGGACAGAAGACCGAGCTCTACAAATGCGGAGGCGTGGGGGCATCCTGCAGTTTGCTCCCCAGTCTACAGCAGCCTATCGCCCCTGTTCCTCCAGTAAAGTCGGTTCGCTTACCCTCGGTAATGTAGTTTCGTAAGGAAACTGCGGCAATTGATCTCATGCAAGCAGCCTGTCGCCTTAGCTTGCAGTGGGAAGATGGATAGGGTTAGCAAAGCCGATTCTCAATAAATCCGATTGCTGTCTACACCGATGTTCCGGAGTAAATCCGATATCTAGCTAAACGGAATTAGGACAATACCTATTGGACAAACGTAGAGGGGTTTGGGGAGAGCGTTGATCTGTTTCATCCTTAAGAATACTTAAAATGTACCTACCCAATGTATACACTACGGATAGTTTCTATTGTGAAGATAATGAGCCGAAGACTAGCTAGTGGAAATAGTCCGGCATGTATAGGTATTTTAAAAGCCAAATAGCTGGTTATCCGACAGCAGCAAAGCTTTTAGTTGAGTTCGACGATCTTCCTTGGGTTGGCTGGCGAGACGAAGGCTCTAGGATGGAACCTACATACGACCAACCGATCGTTGATATCGCACGCTACATTTTTCACTATGAAATCGACGAAGCGGATGAAAAAGTCTGGGCACGGGCGCAGTTGACATTGCTCGATACTCTAGGCTGTGCCGTTGAGACCGCAGCTACTAGCAATGAATGCCGAAAGCTACTAAGTGTTTCAAGCGTGGGTATGACCATCCCGGATGGATTTCGAGTTCCGGGCACCAATCTACAGGTCGACCCTCTAGAGGGAGCGTTCGACTTTGGAGTTCTTATACGCTACTTGGAGCACAATGATGCGTTGGGAGGGGCGGAATGGGGTCATCCTTCAGGTATGATGTTTGCCAGGTCAAGACTCATATAAATGTTCAGTCGAATTGAATTTTAGATTCAAGACAATATCGCAGCCATCTTGGCCGTTATGGACTGGCTGTCGCGTATGGCAGCCTCAGGGCGTCTCACCCATACAGGACCACCGCTGAACATGCGGACATTGTTGATCGCACTGATCAAGGCCTATGAAATACAAGGCTGCTACCAAATGCGCAATGCATTCAATTCGTACGGCATCGACCACGTAGTATTGGTCAAACTGGCTTCAGCTGCTATCGTTTCTTGGTTACTGGGTCTCACAGAGGAGCAGACCATGGCATGCATCTCTCACGTCTGGATGGATGGTCAGCCCACGAGGGTCTATCGAGCGCGCGATAACACAATTCCACGGAAGGGTTGGGCCGCGGGAGACGCTGCACGAAGAGCTGTACAGCTTGCTCTTTATGTCCAAGCAAACCAGCCAGGTTCGCCGGGAGCGTTGTCATCCAAGCCATGGGGGTTTTGGGCTCGAACTTTTGGAGCAACGGGCTTCCAGTTCGCTCGACCATTTGGTACATGGACAGTCCAAAACGTGCTATTCAAAACCATGCCAGTGGAGGGACATGCCATATCTGCCGTGGAAGCGATCTTGATCCAAATGCGTCGCTGCAGAGAAATAGGATTGTCGAGTCCCATGCAAGACATACAGCGGATTGACTTGCGTACCACAGCCGCGGCCGATCTGATCATCAACAAGAAAGCACCATTGCGCAATTTTGCAGACCGTGATCATTGCATTCAGTATGTTGTTGCCCTGGCATGTTTGAAAGGAAGTGCGCCTGAGGCTGTCGACTATCTCGACACAAGCCCATGGGCGACCAATGAAGATTTGAAATGCTTGATGGACAAAATCGCGGTTTCACCTGACCCGGTGCTAACCCGAGATTACTTGGATTTGGACAAGCAGAGCTTGGGGACGGGTGTCACGATTCATCTCAAGAACTTGTCGGTTCTTCCGGAGATACTGGTTGAGTATCCCCTCGGACATGTGCGGAACCCCAGGACAGACACGTTTCTGGAAGCCAAATTCTCACAGAACATGGCGCGGATGTTCTCTAAGACTGAAACTGCCCAGATCGCGGGGGCAGTCCACTGTCCCGATATGCAAATAAGTAGTTTCGTGGATTTGCTTGCGCGTCCGGCAGGTCAGCCAAAATTGTAAAATAGAGCAGAATTGGCCCACTCGGCGCGCTCAGAAGAAATAATCGAAACCATTGATTCTTCAGTCGACCTTGCCAACGCCTTTCAGGGTCAGGTATACGTCCGTTCCCCAACCCCAAAGACTCTGTACTGCAATGCTCCCACCGAAATACTCTGCGTAGGCTCGACTGAGTGGCAGTCCGTATCCAAGACCCGCAATACTGCTTAGATGGCCACCACTGCTAGAGATTGTGTTCAAAGCGTCCAAATTGCCATTGTCCGAATTGAAATCCACGTCCGAAAATGTCGTGAAGCTGTACGACCAGATGTGAGGGAGGACCTCCGGAGGAATTCCACCACCCCGGTCGCGGATACGAATAGTAATGCTTTGTGAGGAGGGATTGGAGGCTCCCATTGCCTCACTCGGGTACGCCTCATCATTGGCATCTAGTTGAAAGCCAATGTCGGCGTCACCCTCCACTGGCGGCTCTTTCCCTGGTACATCGGGGGCAGCTGCAATAGTCACCTCAATGGGCTCCCGCTCGTTTCCAGACTCGATGGTCGCCCGGAACGCATTCTTCAGCAATTCGGTGATGATATACTCCACGTGTACTGGAACGTGGGCGAACGACGCCTCGGGCTCGCCTCCAATTACAAGCCGTGGACGTACCCCGTATTTCAGCTCGCAGATCTCTCCAACAAAATCCTCGCAGAGACGGATGATACGCGCGGGTTGGATCGCAGTATCAATCACGCCGATATAATTCGAAGGAACTGCATCTTCGGGCGAACGAGGCTTGGAGCGGTTAGGTGGCTCATCGCTAACTGGCTGAGAAGCAAAATGCAGCGCCAAGTGCTGTTCGGCGATTAATCGAGTACCGATACGTGCACGCAGATGGGTATCCAAGAAACGTGTCACATCTGCGGGGCTGACATATTTTCGACACTCCAAAAATCCGCGGGCAAGAATCGGAATGGTATTTGTATGGGTTTGTACAAGGTCCGCAAGCACGTCGCCGAACTTGTTTTCCTCCTCGAGGGTGGTGATTCGCCTTTGTTGGTACGGGAGAAGGGTGGACAGGGAGTGGCGGTAGTTTTCGTAAATCTTCGACACGTGAGGGTTTGATACGACTATGAAAGGTAGATTTCGCAGTGCTTGAATTCGGGAGGCAAGTCGTGCGGGGAGCAAGGAGAGAGTGAAGTTCGCCGAAGCTAAAAGCGCGTCTTTAGATAGTGGTGGACGTCCATGTCTACCAAAGTAGTCCTCGTCAGCTTTCTTGTTTTGATACCTGTTGAATGATCATCCGAGCGGCACTTACTTTAACAAGTCTGCTAAGGTCAGGGGGCGACGAGGGCTGGCAGCCAGCTGGGCAACCTCATCTCTGGCAACATCTCCAGTTGTTGAGCGACCGGCCCAATCCCAAGTCTTCTGCGACGTCGAGGTGTGACGGATCAATCGCAATCTCGTGCGTATGAGTCGGGGCTGCCCTCTCACCGGCGTCGCCCATAACACTGTAGCAGCCATTGCGTGCTTTGAGGGGACGAAGGGGGGATGTGGGAGAAGCACGGAAATTAGAGGGCAACGGGGGGCGGTGACGAGGAGATCTGCATGTTGGGGTTGGGGGGACCGGATATCCTCGGCCCCCACTGGCCGGCGACGGACGGTTTACACGGCAGTCCCCTCTTGCATATTCGAATATGGAAATTGAATAATGATCGACTTTTGAGTCTCTGGCCTGAATATTGATTGAATTACACTGACCTTATATGACTCGATGATAGCGCGAACATTGTATATTCCTATCTAAAGTGGACCCCCAATCCGTCGATGACGTCGATATAGAAATCCTCCAGAACAACATACGAAATAGAATATTTACCGCCACGAACTAAAACAGATCTTTTCAATTTCCATGTAATTCGTTACTTCATTGTTGATGTGTGGAAAAGATAGTCATCCTTGCAGTCAAGGCCGCGGGCTGAATAATAATATGTACATCAAGTAAGTCGTGGAGCCGCCGAGCGTAGGCCAGTTGGTATCAAATCATGGCCGCTGAAGCAAAAGACCTGCGACTGGCTACTGGCGTCAAATCGCGTGGTCACTCGGCTGGACATAGCTACATACTCCTGGGCATGGTCCATTTACTGGGTCTTGACCTCGGCATCCTTCTCGACGTGGACGTGGTCGTTGGACTCCAGGGTATCGACGTGGTCATCAGGAAACTCGACTCTAAAAGGAGATGAAGTGTTAACTCCGGATCCAATAGGAGACAGTCAATATGCTCAAGAGGATAAGATCTCTGTTAGAAGTACGGGAGACGTACACGAAGCCCTTGATCAGGCTGTACTCATGCTTGATGGTGCCGCCCTTGCCAACAGCCTCCTCCTTGGCACTAACGAACGGACTTGAATTAGCAAAGAGTCTATTTGAACCCGGTCCGAGTATGGGGAACCAACGCTTCAAGCTTTTCCGGGGAGGCGTCGGGCTTCAGAGTGACCTAGGCACCATTAATATTAGCAGGCGAAAGAAAATACTGTAGACTCGCAACCACTTACGTTGTACGAGAGAGGCATGTTGATTGTTGATGGATGGAGAGAACGGAAGTTGATCAAGCGAAGTGTGGTTGCAGGCTGGAAACGCAGAATGGTGGAAAGACGGATGAGTGAAAGTGGGAAGAGGAGAAGAGCTGAGCTAAGATGGTGGAGATAAGCTAAGTGGATGGGCAGGTGGAGGGGGGAGGGGGCGATGTTTTTATACTGGTGGGAGAGTCCTCGACCGATAAGAGCGCCCGAGGACGTGGCTTTGCCGGCTTGACTGTGTCTTACGCCATTTGTTTAGCTTTACAAGGACCTTGGACACGCCCTGTTTCTGCCAGTTCTATCGGCTCTACCGTTTCTGGCCCGTCCCTGGCAGACAAATCGCAATCGGTTCTACAAATCACGATTGGAAAGTTGTTACACCACAGTAGCCCAGCATGGATGACTATTAAATGTGTCATGAATATCTACTTCGTTTTCGCGAGGCAGCCGTGCCCGATCAATAAGATATTCAGTTAGTTCATGAGACGCATGACTCACTGGAAAGAGGCTTATGCGGCCCTTGCACCACCATGGTGCATATTTTGAGGCCTTCTTGGCTATGGATCAAAGATTGACAATAGACACGAGTAGTCCAGGCGTCAATGTGACAATACAGCGATGACGTTATTGCTCCCGCCAAACGCGGGGCAGGTCACGTGGTGATACTGCAAGTTCATTTCCGGATGGCGCGACGGCTTGCTGATCCATTAATTACTTCTTAAGACTCGTTATTGCATTGCAATTAACATTTGCATCTGTATCTCATAACAATCTGAAGAAGACTGAACATTCGAGTTGGGGGAGACTACTTATAGTCCAACATATCCGTCTTGACCCCGCTTCGGCATGTTCATTCCGTGCATCCCCTTGTATGCAGGGCTCTCTGGTGCCTTCCACCCATCCAGTATCGTCTTCTCGTCCGTCAATTGATACACCTCAACACCGAGCGGCCGGCATGTGGCTCCCATTCCACCCTCCTTATCATCCCAGCCCCATTCGGAGAGGTCGCCTGTAAGATCTGGTCAGTAGCTTTTCCAATGTAGTGGTGGTGGGTAAAGATTGAAACAGACCGCCAGGGCATGCAGATAGTGCGCAGAGAACATCCACCTCGGCAAAGAACTCAAAATATTCCCCTGGTTTGGCGGGGGAGGCCTCCATGAAGTATCGACCTTGTTCATCCAGCCCGGTCACTTGGAAGACATTCAACACATCGTGGACATCAAGCTCCGTCAGCCCGTAAGGGACAACTGATCGGGTCAGGTTGGAGTGACAGTGGAAGTCGAACGTCTCGCCGCCCATCAGGAGATTCACGTAAGGATCGCAGCGAGTACCCATCAAGTCATGCACTCGGCCTCCAAATTGCGTAGTGCCAAAAACCACCTCGGGCTTACGCTTCCCATCCGCACCCAGCACGTCATGCAACTGCCCGCCGTTCAGCGAGTCGCCCGTAATGCTCACCAGGGGCCGCAAGTATGGGAGGTTGGACCACAGGCGATCGCCGACGGAGACGTGGGAGGCATGGATTTGACGAGTACGTGCAGCCCACATCCGTTCTCGCGGATTGTGTGCGTTCCAGATGTTCAAGTCACCAACTTGCGGTCCCTTAGGGGTCGTCAGACGGCAGACGTGACCAGCAGGCACAACCCATGCCTGGCCCGAGCATGGTCGGATCGTGAATGACTCTTTAAGATTTCGGGCGGCGGAATCCGATGCCGTCTTGGAGATCCTCTGGTACAGCTCAGATGTCGCATGGATACCAGAGCCCGGTGCGGATTCATAAGCCGGGGGAGGTCGACGAGCGGTTGACATTTTGATATATAGCCTTGTAGTTTGTCCGGGAAAATAGTAACGACGGGAGTAGAAGCGCCTTTAACACCGGACATTTACCGTAACTCCTCCTAATACCGGGCCGGGAAATTGAATCCATTATATAATAGGCCCTACAAGCTCGGAGAATTGCCGTTATCTTGAATCCATCCTTTGGGGGCTTGCCCCGCATGGGGTAGAGCACAGAAGGAAGACTGGCCAAAAGGGTTAGGTAATCGCCTTGACATGCCTAAACTGTGCCGGATGAAGGAGAGCAGAGCCCTGTATCTGGACAGATTCAATGATAAGTCGGCTTATGCTTTTCAAATCCGATCTCTCTACAATATCGGTTAGGAAGGGAAAAGATCCCTATAGAGATCCAAACGCATCGGGAGGGGTTTTGGAGACCAAGGCGATAAGAGACTTTGGGGGCATATGCCTTGTTGCCTCAGGCTATAAGGCACAGATGAGTTCTCCGACGCTAGACTAGAGAGGGAAACACTTTTTTTCTGAGCGGCCCCATATTATTCCGCCCCGAAATAATAATTTTGGGCCAGCTGAAGTCGCAGTTCGCAGTGGTCGGCTTGTTGTCAGAACTGCAGTCCCTAGAATTATAGTGGGACAGAAGCTGTGAGCTCTCTGGCTTCTTTATCTCCATCATGGAGCAGCAGTCGAATAGGGCGCATCGCCCCGCGAAGGAGAAGAAGAAGTTTCAAGGTACGCCTCCAGAACGCTTCCGAGATGGAATCTGCGGAGATTGCTTTTGCATCCCGGTCGAAGACCTGCCTCAAATACTGACAATGGGATTGCTATAGGGCAAAATCCAAAGGCCTTTGCGTATTCCAACCCTGGAAAACTCAACAAACAGGCCGCCCGATCATACGATGTACGTTGACAAGCCTTTCGAATCGATTGAAGCTTGCATGCAAAAGCTGACTCGAATTGCCGCTTCTAGGTCAAGGAAAAGAGGTTGCATGTCCCTCAGGTGGATCGCATGCCTGAGGAGGCTCCTCCTACGGTTGTCGCCATCGTTGGACCTTCAGGTGTAAGTTTTGAGTTCTACTGGGGAGTTGATTGAGAGTCGCAATCTGATCGGCAATTTTTTCTATACACGTACAGGTCGGCAAAACAACTCTTCTCAAATCTTTGATCCGTCGCTACACCAAGCAGACATTGAGCTCGCCGCAAGGTCCGCTTACCGTCGTCACCACCAAGCGCAAGCGCCTCACGTTTCTGGAATGTCCCTCCGATTCCCTTGCCGCTATGATCGATGTAGCCAAGATCGCCGATATCGTCCTACTTATGATCGATGGAAACTACGGATTTGAGATGGAGACTATGGAATTTTTGAACGCTTTGTCTACGAGTGGTATGCCTGGTAACGTTTTTGGCATTCTCACCCATCTCGATCTGTTCAAGAAGCAAAGCACACTGCGCATGACGAAGAAGCGCCTGAAGCACCGGTTCTGGAGTGAGCTGTACCAGGGCGCGAAGCTCTTCTATCTCTCTGGTGTGATTAACGGTCGCTATCCCGACCGTGAAGTTCACAATCTTTCGCGATTCTTGTCCGTCATGAAGAACCCGCGTCCACTTATCTGGCGTAACTCTCACCCTTATGCGCTTGCCGATCGCTTCTTGGATATCACGCCTCCCACTCAGATCGAAGAGAACCCCAAGTGCGATCGTACCGTTGCGCTGTATGGCTACCTCCGAGGAACCAATTTCCCAGCTCAGGGTGCACGTGTCCACGTTCCTGGTGTCGGTGATCTTACTGTCTCCGGTATCGAAGGCCTTCCTGACCCGTGCCCGACTCCCTATATGGACCAGCAAATCGCCAAAGTCACTGGAAAGTCTTCACGGCGTAAACTGGGTGAGAAGCAGAAGCTGCTGTTCGCTCCCATGTCCGATGTTGGCGGTGTCTTGGTTGATAAGGATGCCGTCTATATTGATATAAAGACCAACACCTTTGACCGTGATTCCGACGATGAGTCTGATGATGAGAACCGCGGACTTGGAGAGCAACTGGTGGTTGGCCTACAGGGCGAACGACGATTGCTTGGTGAGGCCGACGAGGGTATTCGTCTCTTCCGTGGCGGTGAAAAGATCGCCCAGGGAGAGGAGGCTGACGGATCTGGCCGGAAACACAAACGTCATGCCCGGATTGCTGATGGAGAGCGTGTTACTGAACTCGACTCCGATGATGAGGAGGGCCTCGAAAGCGGCGAGGAGGATGAAGAAGAACTCGGAGACGACCAAGATGAGGATGACGACTTCAGTGGTGACGAGGAAGACGAGATCGACGTCTCAGCGCCGGCCGACTTTGAATCGAGCTTCAAGGAGCGTCAGAATGGCAATTCCAACCGCGAAGATGGAGACGTTGCTTTCGCGGACAGCGATTCCGATCTCGGCTCCATTTCATCAGTCGATGACCAGGAGCTGGACAGCGGTGAAGATGAGGATGAGAATGACGATGACGATGACGATGATGAGGACGAGGACGACGAGGATGACGAGGGCAATGCTCGGTGGAAGGACAACATGTTGGCCAACGCCAAGGCTCTCCATGGAAAGCGCCCAGCATTCCGTGTCAAAGATCTGTCCCGCATCATTTACGACGAGTCCATCACTCCTGTCGACGTTGTCAAGATGTGGCGCGGTGATGAAGACGAGGACGAGGACCAAGAGTCCGACATTGAAGCCGGTGAAGATGGCGAGGATTTCTTCAAGAAGACCGATAACGAGAAACGGGATCAAGCCGACTTCCGTGCCGTCCCCGAATACGACTACGAAGAACTGGAGCGAAAGTGGCGAGACGAGGAGTTGATTGAGTCTCTGAGACGTCGCTTCGCCACCGGTAAGCTTGGCGGTGGTGGTTCGGATGACGATCTTGAAGAGGGAGACCTGGATGACCTTGATTCGGATGACGAGGGCGATGGCGCCTTCGAGGATCTGGAAACGGGCGAGGTCTTCGATGGATTTGACGATGACGAAGACAAGGATGGTGACGAAGATGAAGACGAGGGTGAACAGAAGGAACCCGAGGGCCCTGTCGATCTCGATGCAGAGCGTGAGCGCAATGCTAAGAGGAAGGAAGAGCTGAAGCTTCGCTTCGAGGAAGAGGACCGTGAAGGTTTTGCCAACGCCAAAGATGGTAACCGAGACGGCCTCGAGGGCGAGTTTGGCGAGGACGATTGGTACGATCTACAGAAGGCGAAGATGCAGAAGCAGCTTGATATCAATCGTGCCGAGTTTGACGAACTCGACCCGGCCTCTCGCGCTCGCGCTGAGGGCTACAAGGCTGGAACCTATGCCCGAATTGTCCTCGAGAACGTGCCTTATGAGTTTGCCTCGAAGTTCAACCCTCGCTTCCCCGTTATCGTCGGTGGTCTCGCTCCTACGGAGGATCGCTTCGGATACGTGCAGATCCGCATCAAACGACACCGATGGCACAAGAAGATCCTGAAGAGCAATGATCCATTGATCTTCTCGCTGGGATGGCGTCGATTCCAATCATTGCCCATCTACAGTACTTCAGACAGTCGAACCCGTAACCGCATGCTCAAGTATACACCTGAGCATATGCACTGTTTCGGTGTATTCTACGGCCCTCTCGTTGCTCCCAACACTGGTTTCTGCTGTGTCCAGTCATTCTCTAACAAAAACCCGGGCTTCCGCATTGCCGCGACCGGAGTCGTTCTGAGCGTGGACGAACACACGGAGATTGTCAAGAAGTTGAAGCTTACTGGTGTTCCTTACAAGATTTTCAAGAACACCGCCTTCATCAAGGATATGTTCAACTCCTCCCTGGAGATTGCCAAGTTCGAGGGTGCATCCATCAAGACAGTTTCGGGCATTCGTGGTCAGATCAAGAGGGCCTTGAGCAAACCCGAAGGCTACTTCCGTGCCACATTTGAGGACAAGATCTTGATGAGTGACATCGTCTTCTTACGCGCGTGGTACCCCATCAAGCCCCACCGCTTCTATAACCCCGTCACCAACTTGCTCGACCAGGAGGAGGGCGGCGCCGCTGACAGTGGTTGGCAAGGCATGCGACTCACCGGCGAAGTTCGTCGGGACCAGGGCATCCCCACTCCCTTGAATTCGGATTCCGCTTACCGCAAGATCGAGCGTCAAGAACGTCACTTCAACCCCCTTCGCGTGCCAAAGCAGCTGGCTGCCGAACTCCCCTTCAAGTCGCAGATCACCAAGATGAAGAAGCACACCGACAAGACGTACATGCAGAAGCGTGCCGTCGTTCTTGGTGGCGAGGAGAAGAAGGCTCGCGATCTCATGCAGAAGCTGACCACTATGCGCAACGAGAAGCAGGCCAAGCGTGCGGCTAAGCAGGAGGAGCGCCGCAAGGTCTATCGTGCCAAGGTGGCTGATAGTTTGGAGAAGAAGGCGGCTCGTGAGAAGCGGGAGCGCAATGATTACTGGCGCCGTGAGGGCAAGAAGCGCAAGAACGATGATGAGTCTGGCGGTGGCGGTGGTAAGAAGCGCAGATAATTGAGATGTTACTTTGGTACCTGCCTCGGGTGGGCACGGTTATCCTTTACTTTGCATAGATGGCGTTCGTGCACCAAAAATAAAACGCTTGTATATGATTTCAGACATACATCTACGTAGAAGATTAGACACCTTTTCTCTTCGAAGACTTCAGTGAAAAGAGAGTCTTTTCGCCTCTATATTCCTCTCGGGGAAATCGAGGGTTCTGGAATTCATTGGTATCTACATCCTCCTGTATTGAGATGTCTAGGCTTTTGACTTTTATTGAACACCATAAATACTGTAGACTAAATAGCGTTAAGCTTTGAAATAGTTGGGGGATTATATGGTGTTGCTCTGGCTATGGTCTTGGGGGTATTGCTTCGAGTTATCGGGGAGAGTGCCCACCCTCCCCACCGGAACTCCCAACTAAATGCGATAAATAACCACTTGACAATTGAATCACGGAAATCTTTTGGATAAATTAAGGAGCTAGTATATTTTGAATAGCGGTTCTGAGAGGCTAGTGCAGCACATGAAGTATACATTCAAAGATGATGGAGATAAAGATATATTCCTGACCCCAGCATATCCTCTAGATGTGTCTCAATGACTCAATTGATAGGAAGCGTCGAAATAGTGGTGGAAAAGTCATCAAGAAAGCCGGAAACCTATCGACGGTACAAATTTCAGCGTAATTTTGAACGCTCAAGGTTCCACTATAAAAAAGGCTGCCCTTTCATTATCTCCTGAATTTTAACGCTGACGACGCATCCTTTTCGCGAGCTATCCGAATACGAAGAATTGAATGCAAAAATTCCCATGAACATGTCTGGGCTCCGCTCCTAGCTCAATTCTTGCGTTTCACCAGGAACAATTAAACGCCACCGTGTTCATTAGGCCTTTAACATGAAACCACCACTTGTGTCCGAAGTGCCGCCGGGGATAGAACCCCTGGACTAAGTGGACCCAAAACATCGTTTTTTGACCTTTGTGGGGGACCCCTAGGCTCACGCTATGTCATCTCCACCGGTTGCTCTAATCACCGGAGATATAAAGTACCTTTCTTCAAGGGCTAAACGATATTATTGGTGGACTTGATGGAGAAAAATTATGCCCAGTCCTCCGAAATAGCCGAGCTATATAGATTCAGGATATCGGTTAGTTCCTGAGATAGGCTTGGCGTGTCAGAAAAGCGACCAAGCTTTCAGTCCAAGCGAGTCGAACTGTGCCGGGCCGATGTGGATTGTATAAGTCTCTCCAGTCCCGTCAGACCCGAGTGGTTACAATCCTTTCGTTCTCATCGTTCTTTTGTTCTCTTTGTCATTCACTCTTTCCTTCGTTCACTTATTCATTCTTTTCAAAATGCGCCGTGCGCTCTTACTTTCTCTTGCCCCAATTGTCCTGGGATGTAACAACCCAGCAAGCCATGCCTGTGCTTCGGCTTACACTGCATCCAGCTCTGCTGCCGCGGAGTTCTGCGCGACTTTCACTGCTAGCACGGTGACCGCCACTACCAGCCTGCCGAGCTTCGCTTCTGCATGTGGGTTCAACACCAAGTCCTTGTCGAGTGCCTGTAGCTGCCTCGATACTGCCTGGGCCACTGCCGGATCAGGAGTAAGTCTTCAATGATCAAATTTACAAATCCAATACCTAATAAGCAGTACCAGTCTGGATCAGCCCAGACCACTGCTGTTGCAACCAGCGCAGCTACCACTACCGCTGCTGCTTCGAGCGAAAAGTCGTCTACGATCTCGACTACCCTAGTCAAGGCCACTCGCACGGCCTCCTCCACTTCCACTTCGGTTGATGTCCCTACCACCACTGCGGCACCGACTACTACTCAAGCCGTTACCACAGTTGCCGCTGATTTCACTGGGTCTGGTACTACTTGTGTTGTGTCCGAATACGCATCTCTCTCTTCTGCTGTCGAGTCTTGCACCAACATCGTACTGTCCGATTTGTATGCTCCTCCCTCGAGCACAATTGACCTGCAGAGCCTTCAGACTGGTGCCGTTGTGACCTTTGCGGGTACCACGGTGAGTGAAACTTCATGAGATACCACTTAAACATAACGCTAATCTTTCAAAGACCTTCGGAGATACTTACGACGATGACTTCGATCCTATTGTCATCTCCGGTCACGATATCACTATTACCGGTGCTGAGGGCCACGTTATCGAAGGCAACGGTGCTGCTTACTGGGACGGAGAAGGCTCTAACGGTGGACAGGACAAGTCAGTTGTCAACACCATGCACATGTCTCTTCATCACTAATTAGGATACTCAGGCCCGACCACTTCATCGTCGTCAAGAAGACCTACAACTCTAAGATCACTAACTTGAACATCGTGAACTGGCCTGTTCACTGCTTCTCTATCACTGGAAGCCAGAATGTCGTCTTTTCCGGTCTTCTTCTGAACAACACTGCTGGAGACGAGCCTAACTCTGCGAGCGGTAGCAAGGCTGCTGCCCACAACAGCGACGGATTTGACGTCTCCTCTAGTGACTACATCACCCTGGAGGACATCGAGGTTTACAACCAGGATGACTGCGTTGCAGTTACTAGTGGAACTCAAATTGTCGTCGACAACGTGTATTGCTCCGGTGGCCACGGTCTCAGCATTGGATCCGTCGGTGGAAAGAGTAACAATACCGTTGATGGAGTTACCTTCAAGAACTCTCAGGTTGTTAACAGCGAGAACGGTTGTCGCATCAAGAGCAATGCCGACACCACTGGCAGTGTAAGTTGATGACACGACACTCTCACCCTCTTGCCTGATAGAAAAGACACTGACAACATGTACAGATCAGCAACATCACCTACCAGAACATCACTGTCTCTGGCATCACTGACTACGGTATCGACATCCAGCAAGACTACTTGAACGGCGGTGCCACAGGCGAGCCCACCAACGGTGTCACCATCAGCGGTGTCACTTTCGACAACGTCAAGGGCACGGCTACCGACGATGCCTATGACTACTACATTCTCTGTGGCTCGGACAGCTGCTCGGACTTTACCTTCACTGATGTCTCCATTACTGGCGGCGGTGAGACCAGCAGCTGCAATTATCCCTCCAGCGGCTGTCCCTAAGGGCGTCATAAAATTTCCTCTTCTTTGGTGTGACTTGGTGAGGCCTGGGGACCTTCTATTCTATCTATACATCTTTTCAAATGTAGATGAGTCTGCATTGCCGCTGTTGATCGGCGCAATGTCAAAAATCCAACTTGTGACTAGTATTCCTCAGTCTGTACATCCTCCATTTTTCTTGAAATTTGTGAAGGTTTCTATTTCCCAAGTCATCTGATTTGATCATGTTTTCTCCTTGAATTTTCTTTTTAATCAGCTGTTTGGTAATCCTCCATTTCAAGATTGTCCAGCTCAGTACATGGGGGAAGCGAGTAGCATCCGGGATGAGCGCTCGATGAACGCGGTACGTTGTGTCTTCAAGTCCAGTCAACTGAACGTATATCATAAGCTTCAGTATTCCTGGGAGCATTTCCAGTAGCCTCGAGATCAAACATTTGTCCTGAACAATGACTTTCCACTAGTTATACTTTCCTTCCCGCAAGTGGTAGCGTTCCACGTGACCGTGTCTCGAACGCGTCGCCGCAAGAAGGAAGGCCGGAGAGCGACGTTGACTCCCACGGGCGTTCTAACCTCACACGCAACTCGATTGCTAGCTCACGCTAGATATATATACTCCTTCCTCGGTTTTTGAGAACTGCCCATTCTTTCTGTTACCTTCCAAGTGCGTGCAGAGCCGTCTCTGCAGTATTATTACCCACGGGCGGAGGCTGCCAGTTCGCCGTTTTGCCGCTCGTGGTCAACTTTGCGCGTACTGGTCGATCGCCACTGGATCGGACAGATGCTTCTCACATCCGCGGCAAGAATTACTAGCATATCTGCACCGTCCCGAAGGTCCTCGAGGATAATTTAGATCCCGACCGTTGGTCTAGCGCGTTTCCTGATCACTCCACGTCGGACATTCTCGGTGCCGTCTCGATGCGGTGACTCGACGCAAGAAGTAAAGTCCTGCGTGTTTAGATTCAACTGGGCGCGGCTCCGTTCATTCGCCATTGAAGATTGATCGCGTATGTTTTTGTCTTCGGTACTTGCCTCTAACGCTACTCCTTCCTGCCCCGATATACCATTCGTTATGAACGACAGTCGTGATGTCTTGGCGAATCGGGGGGCTTCCCATGCGGAGGCCAGTGCGAACAGCGACGGCGTGACCTTGAACACATCAACAGAGCGAGATTCCAGGAAACCGGTTCACGCAGATCATATCCAAGTCCCACGATCCCCTCAGCTTTTATCCTTGCGAGTAGATGGATTGAATTTCGGGATTCACGACAAGAATAACCACGGTGCCGCCTATGTTGAAACCCCCGAACGTGGTAGCGACACCTCCGCAGATGCTCGACGGCCAGAATCACATTCCGCGAGCACCTTCACAGACCTACCCAGCCTACCTGCCCCTGTATCCAACGCTTGTGAGCAACCCGCCGAGTTGGACAATCCCCGTTCCTTCGTCGAGAACTCGCAGTCATCACAAACAGAGCCAAACTCGGAGAATTCCCAGGACTCTTCGCATACGCTGTCGTTTAATGGAAATGGAGTAGATATACTTCCTCCACTAAAATCGGAACAAAGCACCAATGGTTCAGTTTCCCCTGTACGATCTCCCAAACATCATGCATCGCAATCGGGCATCGAGACAAAATTTGCTCCCGGGCACAAGAGGACAGCAACTGGAGACATCAAGCCTATCTCGGCGCAGCTCATTACACCGCAATCTTATGATGTAGAAGGGGCTTCACGGCGTCGTTCAAAAAGCACAGGTTCTCCTGCACATGGGAGCCGTATCGCACAGGTATATCTCTTCACCAAGTGTGCTCTCAAGTATATCTTTAACGCATCGATAGTTGTCTGTTCACATTCGGACGCGATTGTCCTATGCGGCAGCCAAGATAGAAAAGTCCCGACAGTCACAAACCAGTTCTCAGCTCGCACTACGTGGACTAGACAACCTATCTTCTCTAGACTCGCAGACCACGAGTGGCTCCGGATCACCACTCAGTTCAAACCCGACATCTCACCCCACCTATAATTCAAGCGCCTCAACTCCTCGACCTTTCCTGTCCCATCACCGTTCTCAGTCGGCGCTTTCGTCGCATGGTAAACTCCTTGCTATTCCTAAATTGGCACCACCTGTGGATATAATCTCTTCAAATGGAGACACGCGGCGACGACGACCAAACCCGAATGAGCCCCTTCAGAAGCCGGTTGGTCGGAGTCCATACTCTCATCACAAACGGCATCATTCAACCCAGGAATTGTCCGTGGACAATTCAATGAATGGTTCACCGAGGGTCATGGGGCCTGGGACGCCATATATTCCTCCTTTTTCGCGTGCGCCTACATCATCCCAAGAGGGGTCTCATGGAACCAGAACCCAATCTCAAAACACGTCAATGGAGCAGGATGCAATTGAAACACTCCTGTTCATGTCTAGTCCCGAAAACTCAGGCTATCGTTCAAGTCCAAGGCCATTGCAGCCTCTGGCGACGCAGAGGAGTCTGAATGAATCGATATATTCCAGCCATAATGGAATCGGGTCTCATCCCAGCCAAGGCTCACAAAGAAATGGGTCGCAGAACAGTGGGAATGCGACCAAGTACAAAATCCTTGGCTTGGGGCTGGAGGCCAACGCGGGCGATGAAATCGACCGCATTTTAGACCAGATGGAGAGCGATAGCGAGGATGATTCTCAGTATGCATCGCACCGTCTTCATGCCAAAACTCAGTTCAGGGGGCACCAGGGACGTCCACGGTGATCTCTTTGATCATGATGGTTGATTTTTGCTTGCATTTGAATTTGCCAATTCGCATTTGGGGGTCATATTGCATGCATTTACGCAGGCCTGTCAGGCTAATTGCATTCGCATCGTATACATGCTAATTAATGATATTTAGACTGGATCATTACGTTTTCCGAATCACGTCGTAGCCGGAAGCTGGCAATATGTTAAAATTTGTCTATCCGTATGCAAGAGTTCTATGAATTAGTCTATGTCTATGATTGCTTATTACCGAAATGCTGTTTCCCGCGAAATGCTGTGGTCCCGTCATATATAATTTCATCGTGACTCAATGCGCAAGCTCCTATCGTCGAGTCAGTATACCTATGGACCATGGTGTCGAGGTGGCTGCTAGGTACTTACACTGGCCATCTTGCTCTTTGCGCGAATCTTAGGGCCGTAAAAGGCCAGAACCCATGGAACGAGCGTGAGCAGGACGCCCTATTTCTAGATGTTAGAGACCAATACGTCAATGAAGCATCCAATATGACTTACAATTCCACCCAGAAGACTGGATGCTCCAGGATAACCCAGATTGGTAAACATGGCGGTGGTCACCAGCGGAAAAATGCCACCGAGAATGTTACGGCCTGTGATTTGATTATTAGTATATGAATCCATTGGCACCTCCTATACACAAATTTGGCGACTTACAGCATGACTGGGCTGCAATTGCAGAGCTGGCGTAGCGATGGTACGTATCGGCCAAATAGTTGAAAGTAGCCAGGTAAATCGAAAAGATACCCATTGTCGCGCATCCAACGGCCATGGTGGGTACAATCCAGGGCACCGAAGGGAAGGACGTCCAACCAAACCAGAAGAGACCGATAGGAAGGAGGATGGACTCGATACAGACGAAGTACAGACGCCCTTCGGCGGACGAGTTGAGCCATCCAAATCGTGCGGCGATCTTTTCTTGCCAGATACTGATGATGGTGATGAGGATTGTACCGACGCACATGGCTAGATATGAACGATTAGTTAGCTGTTCGAAAAATTTATCTTGGGTCGTTAGGACACACCAGTGAATACAGCGCCGGTCTGCTCGACGTTAAAGTTGTGGTTTGTGCGGAAGACGAGCGGAACGGAGCTAAACTGCAGGTACAGAGTGGCCCAGCTGAAAGACACCCAGAGAGAGAAGAAAAAGACGACAGGTTCCGTGACGAGCATATCTGTTATTTGATGATTAGGACGGATATCCCATAATGGTAACCTTTGGGAAAACTCACGGAATGGCCGATACAACGAGACCTGGATCATCTTGGCTAGCGACGCCCGCTGCTCGTCGCTCTTGACTTTCCACCGAATACGACGGACACGCTTTTCGTCGGAAGAATCCTCGCTCGACATGATCACACCGAAGTGGCCAGCCTCCTCGAGCTTTTCATAGTAAGTGTTCAATTTCTGAGCCTTACGACTTAGCAGAACGCTTCCACGGGTCTCCCTGAAGAACAGAAAGATGACAATGACAAAGACCGCCGAGACAATTGCGTGGGAATAATAGATCCATCGCCAAGATGTGTGAGTGACAATCGTACCAGCGATCATAGGTGCCAGACCGGTGCCGAAGAGCGCAGAGCCGGAGAAAAGAGCCATCGGGGTGTTTCGGTCTTGGGCGTGATAAATGTCACTGATGACACCGCCAACCATGGTAGAGAAAGTAGCTGAGATATCATTAGCTTAATACATGTCAACTCTATGTGCAGAGTAAAACATACAGCCTCCCACACCCTGGAAAAACCGGGCGACCAATAGTCCTGCGAACGAGTGTGTTCCACCGCATGCAATAAGCATAGCTGGCAAAGATGTTATTAGCAAAAATTCAATGAAATACCATGGACATCAGGACAACATACCAACAAACAAAATGCCACTTGCGACGAAAATAGGCCTGCGTCCATTGATTTCGGAAAATGGCGCCAGAATCATTGGTGCCAGGGCGAAGCCCAAACAAAAAATTGTGATACTCAAATTATACACAACGGAGCTAATGCCCCATTCTTTACACAATTCTTCCGAAGCAGGACTGACTTCGCCAGCCGAATAACCCGCCAATGCAGTAACACCACAGGCAATCCAAGTCATCATCGACTTGCGCCATTTGGGCCAAAGGAATGGCGAAGTATACTTTTCCAAGCTGGGAGCCTCAGGCGGGGGCGACTGGCCAGGCTGAGGGGGTAGAGTAATGCATGGCATCGGCAGCGGCGTTTCCAACTCGAGATAGAGATATTCGATCTCTTGGGGCTCGACCAGAGATTCTGGACTGGCCTCGCGTGTATTCATAGTGACGAATGGCCCAGGTTGCGAGAGATCAGCGGTGCTGGGGGCCATGTACTCGAGTATATATGGCGGTACTCTGTACTGTGCTGCAGATTGCTTTGACCTTTTCCTTGTCTGGGCAATTACTCCTCACTTTTTGAGCGCGATTGGCTTTTATGAAAGGCCAGGGCTTTCCCCGACCGATTAGGCGTGGGCCCCAGTCTGGTGAAAAATTGGAGTTGGAGAAGGATGGCAAAGCGGCATCTCCACTTAACAATGGGTCTTGATAGAGGAGTACTGATGTAGACCAAGGAAGATATATGGAGGTTGCTTTTTGTAATGGAGAATAGCTACATCTTGGACTGACAATGAGTCAGGTCTTCTATTATTCACAAGCCAAAATGCAAGGCATTCGGTCTTTTAGCTGAATCATCATCAAGCCAATGCCGGTACGCCTTCCGAGAACAAGAACAAGGGGATGGATGTATGAGAATTAGTCAGAATTGGGGGAAATCCGACTTCCCCACTTTTTGTATTATGGTAATTCTCCAATTTGGAGACGGCCAAGGGCAGTCTTACAAATGAAGAAGCCAAACACACAGCAGGGATCCTGGTCCCAATGAGTCATAGACATAGATTAGGGCTAATAAAAAAAAGCAGATCTGATTAATGAAGATCTGTTTCATGAAGAATTTCGTTTACATATGTCAATCCTTCGGAATCTGTGCCGGTCGGGACTTGATGCAAGCTACTGCGGAGTTGGAACTACCTTCCCCGATTTTCCTGCCACCTCTCTCAGAGGGGGAACGTCATTATCCGAAACCATGCGCCCGGAGCCATGAGCCATGAGCAGCCATGAGCACCAAGCCCTATCTCTGCCAGCGATGCCCCCGGGCCTTTGCCCGTCTCGAGCACCTGCAGCGCCATGATCGATCGCGTAAGAACCGTTTTGCCCCACCGGATGTTAGGTTCGCCACTAATTTCTATCAGATACCAAGGAGAAGCCCTATGTCTGTGTGCAATGCCCCAAGGCATTCACTCGAAAGTACGTTGATACTGACGATACTCGTAAAGCAGAATCTAACATCTGCGCAGAGATCTTTTGGCCCGCCATGAACGGCTCACTCATCAGCCTGGGAATAGTCCCACTAGTAATCAAAAACAGACACCTTCCCCCGCCCATACAACCACGGATGGGCTAGATACCCTGGCATCTGTCGTCGCTAATCATGCACAACCGGATCGCCGTACCCTGGCGGCCAGTAATCAACACTTTACCGAGGGCCTGCCAGTACATCAGACGCCAATGATGGGGGCGCGACTCGCAAACCCTGAAACCCCATCAGCAGTGCCCCCAGCTCCTCTTCCAGGCCCGGAGTTTGGCTACTCCCTAAGTGGCTTTACAGGATCCTATGTGGGAAATGATTTCACGTCGTTTCTGGATAGCGTACCTCTGCCGAGCCATCCTTTTTCACCGGCATTCCAGCCCCTGCCTGTCTTCCCGCCCTTGACGTATTCCCCAGTCACAGACTATGACCAGTCTTCGGAGAGAGGCCAACCCTCCGAAACTGCGTCAACGCCATCAAGCTCAGTACTTCCACGACATGGTGCACAATTACCATCTCTTCAGCCGGAGGGGTATCAAACCTCTCCCAAGACGCGACAGCCGACAGGATTCGTTCCGGTCACGGCTCAGTGCCGGGACAAGGCTCTTGAAGCCTTGGCAGACTATGCCAGTGTCGTGTCAGATCCATCACTACCTTCTCGGCATGCCTTGTCTCGCTGTTTGACAGGGTATCTGATGGGATTTCATGATCACTACCCAATAGTGCATAAGCCCACATTAAATGTTGATTCAATGTCATTACCATTGTTCCTATCCATGGCCGCACTGGGTGCAAGGTATTCTCGCGAACCGGACACGAGCATGCGTCTATACCAGATTGCCAAACCGGTCACACTCGAACGATTTCGGCGAGTTTTTCTATCCGGTTCGATGCCTTCCGTCAATGTTGCAAATGACCAAGATACGCTGGAACTATTACAAGCTCTCCTAATGCTGATATCAGTTTCGTCATGGTTCATCAACAATCCACCCTATCACGAGTCATTGTCGATTAGAAGTCTAATGGCCACACTCCTCCGTAAAGACGGAATTAACTGTCTCCCCGAGTTTGACGGGACCTGGACGAGCTGGATTCGTCGCGAGTGCGTCAAACGCACAAAGCTAATTGTCTGCTGTTTCTTTAACATTCACACCATTGTATTCGATATTCCACCGATCATCCTCACCGAAGAGCTTTCCCTGGATTTGCCCTGTACGGAGACAGAGTGGCAAGCTCCCAGGGCCGATCTCTGGCAAGCCGCACGTACACAAAGCCCCGGCGAACCGAATCTTCAAGAGGCTCTTTCTGCACTATTCACCCCTAACAGCGGCATGGAGCGTTTTTCCTCGCTTGGGGGCTATGTGCTAATCCATGCGTTACTGCAGGACATTTGGTTAATGACCAAAGCAAGTCGTCTTGCACTCTCCCGAGGCTATCGTCTGGGCTCGTCGATTGCATCGACGCCGGAGCTCATCTCAATGGAACAAGCATTGGAGCGATGGTGCCAGTGCTGGGAACGCAACCAAGAGTCATCGATCGACCCACTGAGCCCGCACGGCCCGATCTCCTTCACATCCGCCGCTCTCGTCCGGCTAGCATACATCCGACTCAACGCAGACTGCGGGTCCGCTAGGCAACTACAAACTTGGGACCCTGTCCAAATCGCTACGAGCCTGAAAGACAATCTCCGCGTTGAACGGGGAGATCGGCTGACCCGCGCAGCCCTCCACTGTGCCCACGCCCTTTCGACCCCCGTCAAATTGGGCATTGGATTCGTCGCCCACTCGCAAGTGGCGCTGTGGTCAAACCAGCACGCCCTATGCTCGCTTGAATGCGCTGTATT